GCAGAAACACAGCAGACTGAGGTTCCAGAGGCCAAGGAGGACAGCACTGAGGGGACAGAGAGCAAAGAGACCAAGACTGAGGCGACAGAGATCCAGGAGAAGGAGACGAAGGATGACGACGAGAGGGACAAGTTTCCTGAGACCTTGGCGTACCAGGACGGATCTCAGGGACCAATCTCAGAACAACTAGTCAGGCAAGACGCCTTTCTACAGGAAGCTGAGGAGGAGGAGCAGCTGCTGGAGGCATCGATGAAGTGTAAGAAGTGTGGCCTGGAGGTGGCACTGACTGAGTCCGTCATCAGAGGTCCCACTGAACTCTGGTGCAGAGAATGCAACAGTTTGTATACGATGCTGAGGAGACACCAACAATGGCCTCCAGCATGCTTTGCAACTCTGAGCGAAGAAGCCCAACAGAACTTTTTTGCACGTTGCAAACAAGAGAAGCAGGATGCGAAGAAAACCATGTTTCTTACAAGACGGTCCGGGACACATTGGTGACCCAGATTTGTGAGGAGACCAGGAAGGTGCGGACCGTTGGAGTTTCAGGCACTTATTTGCCACTGTCAGTGTACAGGGCACGCGGATATGAAGTCGACCAAGGCTTCACGACCCGCAATCCTAGTGAATGGAGTCCTGGACTGAACCAATGGACGTATTTGTTGGTGGAGTCGTCAGTCTCAGAGCAGGAGATACGGGCAACCACCGAGAAGCAAGTGGTCGAGGCTGAGAGAGCAGTACGCAAGCGCAAAGCTCCCGAGATGGTTGCAGATGAGGAAGAGGAGAAGAACTCCACAGCCACAGGGGCTGCAACAGTTGTCTTGGACTTGGTCTCAGAGTCAGATGAAGGCCATCTGTCTTCAAGACCAAAGCAAGTTGTGGTTCAACTTCAACCTTGCATTAACTTGTTACAACTTCTCTGCACACTGCGGCTCACTGAGCCGCAACATATATAATGAATCTGTTTTCGTCTAACCTTGTTGGTATACTTTCAACAGGTTTCCTTCCATGTGCATATTCAATCTTCAAATTTCACATGATGAATTTGTTAGTTGCATTTGACATGCAATTCAAACCGTTCTTACCCATTTCCTGTTAATTTAAATTGCAAACTGATATTTATTTTCATCCTGCAGGCGATGACGACCATGGACCTTCTGGCAGCAAGGGACTTGAGAAGAAGGGCAAGGCTTTGACAGCCAAGCAGGTGGAGGCCAAGCTCAAGCGTGAAGCCGCCCAGGTTTCGAAAGATCAGGCGAGGGCTGACAAGAAGGCTGAAAGTGAAAGAAAGAAGGCTGCAAAGCAACAGACAAAAAAGGTTGTCTCCCTGAGCAGCAAACTTTCGGCTCCGTTGGCCACCTGCCTTCACAAGATGAACGAAGTGCTGGATAAGGCCTTCAAGTTTGGAGTGGAAAGCGACCCCAGAGTTCAGGAGTTGAAGGACAAGACTGCCATTGTGGAGGACTGGAAAAAGAAAACAGTTGCAGCTTTGGCGTTTTACTCGAAAAACCCAACTTGTGAGCTTGGAACTCTCCCCTTCGAGACTGACAAGGAAGTCTTCACCTACATGAAGGATCTCACGAAGCTCTCCCAGGAGGTCACTAAGCTTGTGATCACCCCGGCCAAAAGCAAGAAGTGAACTTTGAGCAGCTAAAGGATCCAATCGTCTTTTTCGAGATGGGAAGCAATGGCTTGGAAAAACTTAGGTGATATGCCTTAGCTGCAGTGTCGTTTGGATCTGCAGATGGCGTTTTTAGAAAAACAGAACTCTGTGTGAGATGCCTTAGCTGCACTGTCTTTTGGATGTGCAGATGGCTGATATCTTGTTCGACACGCTGAGACAAAACTTCGGGGCGAGGGTCAAAAAAATGTACCTGGACGTGGCAGCTTTGAGTATCAGATTGCCTTAGCAATCCTGAGTCTTCTATAGATTACTTGTCACCGACAATCTCCAAACTACATCGAAGCTTTGCTGCAGCGGCTCCATGAGCAGCTCATCGAAAAAGATACGTTTATCCGCACAGCGCAGCTTAAAAGAAAAATGTAAATAAAAGCATTCAGCAATAGATAATCATGCAAGAGATTTCCCAGTGTCATGAAACGCTCTGTGTTATGTTTGGTTGGAATTCTGATATCAATCTCAAGTCTCAAGCGTAGTTGTTAAGATATTTTTGTAACCCATGAATCACTATACCTCTTTCAATACAATAGAAATCAAACGACGATTGCAAACAATTTTGTGAGGGTTAGGTTTTCTTTGCAATGTCTCCATTTTAAAAGAACCAGTGACATTCTATTGAAGGCATGTGGTCTGAAGACATCAACCTCGTTGTACTAATTCTTGGATCAAGAAATGTCAAGGTGCAGCAAGAAAAGGAAAAAAATGCTGCTGCCAGTTCCGTGTGCCATGACACTTTGGGTCTGCACTCTGTGTCGGATGAATCGAGGAGAAAATTTTTTAACGCAACCTGCCAGGCATTAGGCCATGATGCAGAAGCTGTAACATCAACTTCAACTTGGAAAAGAATACAAGAAGATGTGCTGCCTGACGTTTTTGAACCTTTGGAATTGAAAGGTGTGGATGAAGATCGACCTGTGATCATCTACGTTGCAAACATTCCAAAGATGTTACAAAATTTGATGCAAAGATGCGAAGCGTTTGCACTTCATGTTTCCAACACTGCGAAGCAATGTCCAGGATTGAAAATGAACATGGTGATCTACAACGACGAAGCGACAGGTGGTAACGTGCTTTCTGTTGTGGGTGCCAAGAAGGCCAGCCTATGGTATTTTGGTATCAAAGAGCTTGGTTTTCTATGGTCGGATCAACTCTGGCACCCACTGGGCCTCATTCAGCATGCTCAATTTCAGGACATCGAAGGAGGATTTTCAGCCGCCACGGCAGCTATCATCAGGGCAATTTTACAACAAAATGTGGAAACAGGCTTTCCACTACAGTTTCCTGATGGGATGAGCATTCTGCGACTTCGAATAGCGTTCATGCTTTCTGATTTAGACAGCGTGCGCTACGCTTTAGATGCAAAAGGAGCTGCTGGCATTCGTTGCTGTCCATTTTGTTTGAACTGCATCAAAAAAAATACAGATTTGAACAAGTATGACCCATTTTTCCAAGTTATTACAAGCAGCAATTTTGAAGGGTTTTCGCGAGCAATCTGATGGTGACATATTCGATGTCATGGACAACTTGGCACTACAGGCGCCAACTTTGACCAAAGCTGCTTTGACAAAGAAGGAGATGGCAATTGGATTCAATTTCAATCCCTCAGGCTTGCTATTAGACCAGTTGGCAAGAGAAGCTTTGCCGCCATCATGCTTTCTGCTGGACACCATGCACTTGTACTGGTCGAACGGTGTGGTGTCTTTTGAGGTTGTGGAGCTTTACAAACGCTGGAATGCCACTGGCCGTGGTAATTTGCAACACTTTTTGGAACTCGACTGGAAAACTTCCCAACAAACGGGCTCAGCCTACTGGAGAAAACAATTGGGTCATGAAGCAAATTTCCAAGGCCAAGGAGCTTCGTACAAAGGTGACGCAAGCAACCTGCAATGCTTTCTTCCTCTGTTTCGTTATTTTCTGCTGAGAAGTTCCGAAGGAACTGGGCTATTGGAGAAAGAATTGGAATGCTTGGGTGTGCTACGCAAAATTCAAATGGAATTGCGCAAACTTTACCATGACACCATGAAGGTGACAGACACCCTGCAGGAACTACAGAAGGAACACCATCGTTTGGTTGTTGCTACATACGGAGACAATTTCATAAGACCGAAGCACCATTTACGGTTCCACGCAGTGCAACAGTTCAAGCGCAACCAGTTTTACTGTGACGCACAGGCTTGTGAAAAAAACATAAAATGTTCAAATCCCATATCGGCCTCCACCGGTTTGATGGTTGGTCTCAAAACGAAACTGGCATGTTTGGACACCTTGTGATGAAAGCAGTTTGGCAGCACCATGTCACATCTCTGGATGCCTTTGGATTCGACAATCGCTTGGTTGGAAAAGTTGAAAAACATGCTGAGTTTTCTTCCGCCTTGGGCACCAACGACTGCGAGGTGACGAGCCAAATGATTTTTGCTGGAAAGACAATTTCAAAAAACGACGTTCTATTGGGTGACCACGCTGGTATCGTCCAAGCTACAGTACGCGCAAGTTCTGACTTTTATATCTACTTGCAGCCCATGCAACTGCAACATCAAAATTCTTTTTGGTCACGGTGGTCTGTGGCAGGTGCCATCAGCAAGTTGGTGCACGTCAAGATGGTAGGAAGAACTCCTATGTGGTGGATGCTCCTCGAAGACGATGTTGTTCTTTGCATACATTAGCGTCAAAAAAAGCAAAGACCATGGCTCCTGGTAGCAACATGTTTTGCGGCTCATTGAGCCGCAGCAACAAAAACAGTTTTCAACACGAAACCAAATACTCCAAGGGCTGCCACGTTTTTTCTTCAAGCGGCTCCTTGAGTTGCAATGATCTATAGATACTCTACACTTGATACACTTGAACATGTATAGTTTGAACTTCCAAGTTGTTTTTTCTGCTGTTTGCGGCCCATTGGGCCGCAACGTCCATGATTTTTTACATAGAATATACCAGGTTTTGTCTCACTGTTGCAGCCTGCTATAGGTGAGCGAGTCTGTGTGCAATAAGCTGTGAGAGTCCATTTTCCAGTGCTTTCCAGCAAAACATGCTTTTTCGAAAGAAAACAAACAGGACTAAAAACGAGCCCTGTAGAAAACATGAATTTACTTAAGATACTTATAAGTTACTTATAACTAATTTGTAAGTATATTACTTATTTCAAAAAATCCTCATTTTCTAAGTAGTTTAAGTATGTTGTAAGTTTTTTCTATGTGTCACAAGTGCTCTATGTACTTGCAAGTGCCACAAGAAGAGCCGGTCCACCAAGTATGTTCCCATTCTATATCCACTTTTATAATCTCATATAATCTCAAATGAATAAGTTGAAGCCGCAAATGCGCACCTTTCAAGCGCACGGTGACCACAGCACCACCGCTTTTCATCTGCCTGGAGATGCAATGCCACTTCCATTTGGGGATGGTTCACACAATTGATGGACAATTGGGGGGTTATAAATCCAATATACAAAATTTGGTTGGTAAATATACCTGGTTAAAAATGGTTAATTAATATGGATATATATATACTGGTTGGTGGTGCAATAACCATGTTGAAAAATATGAGTTCGTCAATCGGTTTCGGATGACATCCCATATATGAAATGGAAACATATGGAAACATCATCCATTCATGTTCCAAACCACCAACCAGAAAATTTATGGGGATCCACATGAAAACTCTAATTAATCAGACAAAAAACATCCACTTCTCTGACCTGTTTTTTTTGGTATCCCAATTGCGGCCGAACGTTCGCGTTAAAGGCCTCCGGCACAGCGCGTGCTGCGGATGGCTGGAGAGACCCGGATAATGCACCTGGGTGGATCGTGGTGGATCGTCGGTGGAGTGGTTGAGTTTAGAACCAACGAAGCAACCTGTCGGGCCAGGATTTACCATCTGGTTATGATGATTCAAATGCTTTACCATGGTTTACCTATTAATAGCATGGTGATTTTCCATGGCTATGTAGCAAATAACCACTAGAAATGGTGATTTAATGGGTTAACAATGGGTCAACAATGGTGAATAATGGGATGATATGGGATTTACCATCTGGTTACCCGGCCTGGTAAACATACCAAAAAAAAATGGAAAGATCCACCATGTTGAATGGGAAAATTCACTGTTTCGACTGGGCCATGTTCAATAGCTATGTAACAAATTGCCATCTGGTTATGACATTCACACTTCGCCATGGAAATATCCACCCATGTTTAAGAACGGTAAACCCAGGTAAACACACCATCTATTTCGATTAGGGCCATGGCTTAGTCCCATGGCTATGTAACAGTCATCACCAGAGGCTATGGTGGATTCCCTGGTGGATTCCCTGGGGGATAAAACCCAGAAAGTGCTATCCAACTATGGCTGGGAAAGTCCCTTTAACTAAAATGAATGTGGTGAAAAAGCATCGAACTAAATTTCTAGATATGGTGCATTTTCAAGCACGCCATGACGCCATGTTTCAAGTCAAGGGCAGTTGGAAAATCCACGGCTTTCCTGATTCTCAATTTCTGTGAGGTTACCATTCATTTCCCCCAAGCTTACCGATATTTTGCTAAATCCAACTCCATCGAAATCCGATATTTTGACTGGTTCGGTTAAATCCCAGTTTTCACATTCTGTCCGAAGAAGGCCTATCCAGAAATGGTGTAAATGTTGAAACCACTGGGTTGGTTTCAATGTAGAATGTTCACGGCAAGTTTAATGGGGAAAAAATGGGAAAGCAACCAAAACATCCAACATTGAGTGACACTTGTCCCAAAAACCGTCCACATGCTTAGTTAACCATTGACCGTACATACCTTCCAACAACAAGTGTCGAAGATTTCAAGACAAACCCAAATCAAACAAATAGGTGGTTACATGTTGCTAACCCGTTCATATTGTTGATGATTGATGTCACCTTCTGGTACTCAAACGTGGCAATGGTAAACCCCCCCATGGCCAAATGGCCTATTTTTATGGAGGTGTCCAGCTGGGAACATCATCGAAGCAATTCTCGGGGATTTTCCAGCAAGCCATTTGTTTTCTTAGCTGCAATTCATGCTAATTCACCGAATTCATGCTAGAGAAATGCTAGTAAAGCAATAGGATCCACCATCCCCAACATTTTACCATAAATGGCTTGTGTAAACCATCAACATGTGGGTGGATAACAACCCGCAGAAACCTCCATTGAAATCCATCAACCACCTATCTTTGATGGTTATTTGGCACGTGACTACAGTAACTCTAGAAAAAAGATAGCCCATCAAGATGGACGTCCATCATATCATCATCATCCCCAGTATTAAACATATAATATATTTATAAGCCCCGAAGATTTTTTTACACCCCCGATGAAAATTCTATGGTGCCGTTTAACGGTGTTTCAAATCCCCGAATCTTTTTACCATGGTTTCTGGGTGGTGTCTATATAATAATGATTGCAATCCTCCAATTTAAGTGACTCAATGAACAGTTCAGAGGAATCTAGTAATAAAACACATATAAAACATATAAGACATATATAAGACACTACAAAACTATAGTAATATATCCCATATGCTCCATGTATGGAATATTTACCAACATTTCTCCCATATATGACCCAAATGTAGGTAAATATTCCATACATGGATCCTATGGGTACAGTAATTACCATCCCGATTTACAACTCCCGATTTCGTCAATTCCGTCGCACCTCCGTCACATTTTCGTGCTTCACCAGGAATTCAGCAACCTTCTGCGCGTTGCTACACTGCCTGACATTAGGCCGTGAGGCGTTACGGCGTTTTGTAAGAAGGAAATTAGGGGAGGTGAAGCCTTGAACAATGGGAACATATGGGAACCCTTGAAAATTGAAAAGTTGCTTTTCTATCACGGAGAGGTTTCACATGGTTTCACAAATACAAGAAGTATTGGATCTAGTATGACCCTGAATGTTTGTGATAACTCGAGTTTCATGAACAAATGAGGAAAGGGCCCATAATCCCAAGAACTCTGATATGTTGCTGAAACTACACCCTTTACAGTACATACAAGTAGTACACACTATTGATATCTATTGATATTCTCAACTTGCAGGATCATCCCCGCAAAAAATGTGTTTGGATCATATCTGTACTTTCGGGAAGTCTCAAGAGAACTTGGAGTGTACATAAACAACGCCATGGCACTTTGAGTCCCATACTGGGCCAGATAAACTGAAGCCCGTGAATCTCAAATCTTTGGTGATTTTCCAATCTCGGGGGCGCCAAATTTGACGGCCGATCTTACACAATCTTTAAGAAATCTCTGCAATAGTGATATATCAGCCAGTATTTTTCTTTACAGTTCTAATCTTCACGCATCCAATGGTCAGCTATCCTTCGATATTTTTGCACAGGTATATCCATATGGCTACTTTTGTCTTAAAAAAACTGACCTGCCTCCCATATAGAAAGCGCGAAAGCGCTGATTTCACGGACAACCAGCAGCCATCAAGCAGCGGATAGCGCGCCTCTCCATGCGAACTGCCAGCGTCTTCATTCCGCGCAAGGCCAAATATGCCTCGCTTCGCTGGCGACGCAACGGACGATCTCGTTTTTTTTTGAAACGTGAACGATCCATGACGCAGAACAGTCTGAACCATGAGCTAAACCCAATACCATCCAAGGTTTTGGTGTATATATATATATAAATTATATTATACAATTATTATATACCATTATATATCCAACTATATATACTTCGGAGCTGGTTTATGGCAGCACCTCAAAGGGACTCGCGATGGCACCCACGCTTTTGGCCAAGGCGTTGAGCCTGCAGGAGATCCCAGAAGTTAGTCCCAAGCCCCGTATACCATGAGGAGCCCACAAAAAAAAAACAACGGTGGTAACTTGAATTCATCAACCCCAAGATCAGCACACAGCACCGGTCGAAAAATCATTCGAGGTTTATCACGATTGAAACTTCAGGAACTTCAGGAGTTGCAAGCTGGAAGGATCACAACCCAAACATGCTTCACAAATCACTGGAGGGCCATCCGCCACATCCAGAAACCACCCAGAAACCCATACCATGTGATGCTCCAAAAGTGCCATGCTTCTGGGAAAATAATGATAAAATCTCATGAAATATGATAAAACATCTTTTTTTGGGGGGTATACCGTGTACCTCATGTTCAAACAAACCCCCATGGTCTCTCCTAAGGGACAAGATTGAAGATGGATGTCATCAGTGGTCCTAATGACCTCGATGTGTCGATCTCCCTATGCAGGGCTCAGAACCCCTGGAATTGGCCCTTATGAAGGCAATGTTCACCAGAAATCACTTTCAAATCGCCCCAGATCATTCGCCTAGCCAAAAATTCACCCAGTTCAACCCTGAGCCCCAGATCATTCCAAAACCACCCAAGAAATCCTCTAAATCCCAAACAATTCCTCTCCATTCTCCGGCCCTTCGCCTCTGAGCCAGGTCCTGGTTGCCCACCACCAAGGCACCGCCGGTCATGTCGGAGTGGCCCCCAATGTATTTGCTGGCCGAAATCATCACCTCGCCAAAACCGAGGTTTATAGCGCCAAGATTTTGCTGGGCAAACATCTGGGGATATCTGGGGCACTTTCTGGGCATTTATACCATCTTCAACGTGAGACCGCTTGAGGACATGGAAATTGAAGGCGTGTTGAGGAGAAAAGCTGTTCCTCACAAGATCTGTCGTTGTGAGAAGTGCTGTTTTCTCATGCCCGGCAAAGTCTCGCCCAAAACCTGTCGTTCTTGTGGAGACTATATTGGCTATTGGCCACATGGAAGTAAAAACATGACGTTGAAGAAGCAGGGATACAATTCTCGTATTGAAAAAACATATTAGCGCTTGGAATCATCATACCCAATGTTGTTAGAAACATGCTAGCCCTTGCAACCAGAAGTATACCAATTGCCTTTTACATCCTGTTACATCCTTATTGTGGTCCGTCGGCTGTGCAGAAAACCAAACCTGCGGTTTCAAGGAACGCCCCAAGATCCATGGTTGCTGGTCCATGCGTATTAAATACTATATATAATTATACTGTATATAATTATTGGATTTCATGGAAACAAACTTGAAAGAAACCCGGCGATCCGCATCACTTTGAATCCGTAAAAAATCCAAGGTCGCCAGGATGCTCCCAGATGTTCCCCCCGGCCCCACGAGGCCACGAGGTCGTTCAGTGCCAAGGTGCAATGTCTACGCCCAACTTCAGGGGCTGTTGATTCCAGGCAGTTGCAAAGGTGTTGTCTGCACAGATCAGAATGGGCGGCTTCTTTGGATCCTCGCGAAGCGGAAGGATTTTCGGAAGTGAAACATGTTTTTTTTAAGACTTGAGTCACTTGAGTCACTTGAGTCTTGATCGGAATAGCTTCGATTGATTTTAGATATTCACTCCTTATCCATGACGGATCCATGCTATATATGGTGCTCCATGGATCCCATCAATATACCCCAGTCATGTTAGCATTTTTCTACCAGCACCATGGATCCGTCATGGGTTTGGATCCAAAAATTTTTCAGTATCTGGATCCAAAGGGACTGGAAGATCACCCCAGTTCAACCTAAATATAACTCTGGCTGGTGGTTTACCAAGCCCTCTGAAAAATATGACTTCGTCAGTTGGGATGATGACACTCCCAACTGAATGGACAAATAAAATTCATGTTCCAAACCACCAACCAGAACTGGTTTGAATTCCTGTGGTTGTCACCCAGCAATTGGGTTTTTCGCTGCTTGGGAGACTTGCACCATGAAGGCTAGCCACTCACAAACGACCAATGGCCTTCAGCCGTCGTCTGTGCGAATCCCTCAGCATATGTCATGAAAGCTTGCTGCGCTGACGTCTTGTCGGTTCCTTCTTGCTCCACTTCTCCGAGCGCCTTGTCAATCTCTTCCAGAGTGCGGTCCGACACAAGGGCATCAGTTCCACGTTTGACCAGCAGCACACACTCTTCGTATGTGGCGTCTGGAGAGAGAAAGCCGACTCCAGACGTTGCCGCTTTGGCCAAGTTCTTCGCTCCCGTCGAATCAGCGGCTACCACACAGAAAAGCCCTCCGTACGCTCCCAAGGCTCGCACGATCTGCAGGTGCTTGCCCATGGATTTCACATCGGAAGCAATGTAGGCAGCATCTCCAGTTCGCGCCTCTTCGAACGCTGCGAAAGCAGCGTTTATTTTCGACATCGAGGCTCTCATGGGTGCATTAAAAACAGTGGCCTGCGCTTTGGCCAAACCGGAGAACAGCGGCGTAACCATTGGATGGAAAAGATGCGGAGCTGCTACCAAAGGTGCCATCGAATTGTACAAGGTCGAGCCGTCTGCTGCAAGCCCGCCAACAAGGCCACCATTCGCTGCCAGAATGGCGTACCGTTCAAGCGCGCGAATCGCCACCCGGAAAGACGCTGACCCTCCCTCAACCCAGCGGAGTCCTTACATTCTAAGGCTTTCTAGATAGATTAGATAGGTAAGTTACTGGCAGACATAACTATGACAGATGACAGATCTATCATGATATGTAGATCCGTCACGTTCCAGTTGGCTGTGAGATAGGTCACCAAACCCAAAATCATGTGAAATCACAATCCAGTTGCCTATCTCAGTTAGACAAAGGAACCGTGTGAAAAACCCTAAGGCCCAGCTCGGATTCAAATCTCTACTTTCCCAGTTCCATGGACCCAGTTCCTAAATTGATCCCCATAAACTCCCACGAGATCCCATGACCAATCCGATTCACTAAGTTTAATTGATGGTCAAATCCCCATTGAATCGCAACAATTAGTATGCACTCAAATACAATTAGATACCATTAGTTCATTCCCCTTAGTGAATGCTTAACCTCCCATTGAATCCCATCATACCAACCCCCAAAAAAAATTAAAAAAGCTGGGACACCTGGACAAATGTATTACTGGTTGGTGGTTGAGCCCTACCCCTCTGAAAAATATGACCTCGTCAGTTGGGATGATGACATTCCAAACTGAATGGAAAAATAATCCATTCATGTTCCAAACCACCAACCAGATTATCATCAGTATACCAACCATGGTTCATAGATATTAATGGTGATTAATGGTGATATTAATGGTGATCTGTGCAAATTACTTTCTTTCTTACCTCGTCTATACTTCGTGTCTGATCATCGTTACGCGCATTTAGCACCTCGCCTCGTTACATGTGGTTTAGAAAATAGCACCTCGCCTCGTTAAATCTGGTTTCGAAAATAACCCCTCGCCTCGTTAATTTCAGGCCGTAGGTATGTATATATATATAATTACATATATATGTATATCTAAAGGATTTTAAGAATGCCTGTGAGTAAACATTGGTACATGTATGATGCACGAACAAGGACAGGTTCCAATGTCTCCAACCCCTTCTTTCCAAAAGGCAAAAGGCTTTTTCACGTTGCCTTGCCGAGAGTGGTTCAGTGTCCATCCGCCTTACGGCGTTTGGGAGGGGACATCTCATCCAATATATTGGAAAAAGCTCTACGTTCTTGATTGTCCACAAGCGCAGCATCGCCCGTGCTCAGGCCTCGCAATGGCCCTGCGGGCCTTTCCTTCCTTCCCTTGTAATGAGGCCTTTTGGCTCCTGCAAGACTTCTCCGAAGCTCGCATCAAGGTCTTTCATGGCCTCGAAAGGCCACCCAAGACGCGACTGGAGAAGAACTCGCAGCGGCATGGCCCTGGAACTTTGAGCGTGCGAGTCTTTGAGCCCCAGTACTGAAGTGAGGGTGTCTGGCAAAACACTTTTCCAGCACTGAAAAGTTTTGTCTGCTACAAACCCTGGCGCGCTGTCTTGGAGGCACCGGATGGACATGAAACAAACTTTTGGCAGCCTGAAAAGTTTATTTTGGTGGATTTAGAATCTATTTACTTCCACTACACAGCCGCCTCGTTCTATACAAATTTAACTCAACCACCTGCTTGAATCATCAAAATAAACTTTCCAGCTCTCCAAAAGTTTTATTCCATGGGTCCGTGCCATCTACATATCCGAAAACTGCCCATACTCCTTAATTCTCAATAAGCAACCTCGTTGCTGACCTCGTTAATTCTCTTTAACTAACCTCGTCACCTCGACTGGGGTCGCAGTAATTTGGGCAGATGGTGATTATTACTATCATGATATTGAACCACCTGGAAGAACCGTTCTACGTTTCTGTAGCTATCAATCGCTAGCTGAACGTGGCCCAAGCTGCACGGTCCACCCGTCCTGGGCCGAACGGACAGCTTCAACCAGCTGTGCGATGTCCACCAAGGTCAGCAAGGGATTCGTTGGGCTCTCCACCTGAGAAGTTCACCAGCCAATTTGATAAAGTGATTTAAGATGATTTAAGCAGTTGAATATGGGGATTTCTCGTGGATTGATGAGTAAATTGGCTTTGAACTGAGGTCGATGAGTGGAGTTCCAGCTGAAACTTGATCAATCCAGCGACCAGGTGTCTAAGCTGATCAATTTTTAGATATGGGGTTTTCCATAAATGGGAGTACCCCAAAATCAATAATTTATTTCATGGAAAATCCCATCTATAAATGGATGATTTTGGGGTACCCCATGACTTTTAGGACACCTCCATATGACTGCGACTGCAGGTTGGTTGTAGCAGACCCGAGCTGACCGACATCGGTCATCTCTAGGTGGACAAATGGAGATGTGGATGCTTGCTGAACAGGTGCTCAGAACTATAGGAATTGTGGCAGCTCAAAATTCACAGTGAGAATTCAGGCATGTTGTGGGACATGAACTGAAAAATAGTTTTTTTTACAGTAATAGTTCATAAAACTACAGGTAATTTCTACACAACACAAATAGTATCAAATAGCTATGACATTAATTCACCAAGAAAAAAATGGCGGTTCACCCCACTTTCCATTCCTGGAAAGCCGGTCATATAGAATGATTCGACTCCAAATCCCAGCATGACTACAGGTCTTGCTCTGGAAAACTCCAATGTCTTCAACTGATTATCATGGATCATTATGGATTATCATGGATTATCATCATTTTTATCATGGATTATCATCATTTTTATCATGGATTATCATCATGTTCCCCATGTTTTCCCCATTTTCGTTGCCATTGAAGGTGGCCAAAAAATCGCCATCACCATCCATTCGTTGCCTCCGAGGCACCCAGATCATGCGAGTGTTCTCCTGGATCTTGGAGCAAACCTCATCTGAACCCGAGGAAAAATGGTCACCTGAGGGTCAAAATATCGCTATCCCATGACGGATCCATGGTGCTGCTATATATGGTAATATTTGGGGTATATTGATGGTAAATGTTATATATAATATTATATAATTACCCATAGGATCCATGTGTGCTATATATGGTGCTCCATGGATCCCATCAATATACCCCAAAATGATGTTAGCATTTTTCTACCAGCACCATGGATCCTATGGGTATGTAGAACCAGGAAACACGGACAATTCAAGTGGATTTTTTTGGTGGAATTTCAATGATTTAACATGATTTAACGTCACCCTCAAACAGAGTAAGTCTAACATACTGTGGATGGGCCAGCGAAATCCTGCACCACCGTGGGTGGTTGAAACCCCAGACATACTGGGATGTTTATCATCTATCAACTGGTGATTCGGATTTCGCTGGCCCATCCATAGTATAACGAATGACATTGGTATCTCACCAAGGAACTAACGGATGATGCCCTCATCGGCTGTACGAAGATCCAGATCCAATGACCGCAGTTTTTTCGTTTCATTGGACCGCACCAGTTGATGGTAAACATCCCAGTATTTGTTTCAACCATCCTTTTGGTGGTGCAGGATTTCGCTGGCCCATCCACAGTATCAGTATTATATGGTTTATGGGAACAACCATGGTTGTGCCCAATATGCTCGTCATATGTCGTCATTTTTCTATCCGGACTAATGAGAATCCTGTTCCTGAACTCGATCCATTTAAATGCCGGAAAAAAAGGATATGTTATACTGAGGTGTTGCATATTAAAAAAAGTCCTCCATGGTTTCAAATACCTGAATTGCGTGATCGATCAAAAAGTCGTTATCAGGCGCGCAATCGCAAAACCTTACTGCCTCTTAAATAATCAGATATAATCAGTCATTAGTCGTACACTTACAGTACAATATGTACACGTAGCCATGTCATTCCATGACATGTAACCACTGCTCTATCCCTGCGACTAGCCATGACTTGAACCCCCAAAAAATCAACCAGGGCGAGCCGGGAAATCTACTGGAGGTTACAGGAAAATCCACGATATGTGGCAGAAACATAGTACATACATATCATGTATGTATATATATATATATTTATTTATTTATTTATTTATTTATATGATATCTATATCTATCCGTATTTTCTTGCTGGTTGCATCCCTATATGGGATATTATGGGATTCAGGTTAGCCTTTTTTCAACCTCTGAAACCATCTCTCCAAGGCCTGAGGCTATGGACATCCTTCAGATCGTTGAGGTCCAGGTATGTGAAGCTTAAGTGTTGGGAGCTAGTCCGAACCTTCTCAAACCTTGGCAGGCCCTGGGCCCTGGCAGATGGCAGATTTTAGCAACAACGAAGTGGCAGCAACACCTTGGACAGCACCATGAAAAATTGGAAGTTCAGCAAAACTTGAAATCTCACAAGCAAAAAAATAAGAAATGTTCAGCAGCAACAATATCCAGAAACAACTCTAAAATCATGGGGTGGATTTCGACCGAAAATCGTTTCTGTGGGAGGGTTAAAACCAACCGCAGTAACATGGGAGATTCTGGGAATATAATTTTCGCAACATGGGGATACCCGGCCTGGTAAACTCTCACATAACTATATGGAAAGACAATCACCATGCTATTCATGGGTAAATCCACTATTTCGACTGGGCCATGTTCTATGTCACAAATTGTTAGTCATTACCAGAGGGTATGGCAACCATATCCATGAGACTATCCATAGATTGTCCATAGATTATCCATAGATCTGGGTAAATTAGAATATTTCACTAACCTGAAAATTAAGGCCATTTTGGGATGATTCCCCTTACTAACTATGATTATAGTGAGGTCGCAGTGAGATCGTTATAATTTACTCAGATAGATTATCCATTTGTTTACCGGAGGGTATATTGTCCCCTATATTCATATCACCCGATGTTCATGGCAGCTCAGGAGATCCTATATTTACCCGGCCTGGTAAACGTTTACAAAAAGCTATGGAAAATCACCATTTTTAATGGGAAAACTCATTATGAATGGCCATTTTCAATAGCAAACTGTTAGTCATTACCAGAGGGTACCTTTGATTTGCAATCCCAGACTTGGTCAAGGGCAGATTGAACTTCCACGTATAGAAATTTATCGCAATAGACAGTTCCTTTGTAAATTAGATATGTTCCTTTCAAGGTCCATGTTCAACCGCAAAACCTAGGACCTAAAACAATTTGGTTCTTTTCGTTCTCCTGATATCCGCAAAAAAAAACATCAATATTATATAGAAACTTGGCAAATTCTATGAACTTCCTTCAAACAAAAACATGTTTCTTGTTTGTTTTTTGCGAGCGGTTTCACCATCCTATGCACTTCAGATCGACGTCCAGATCCGGGCATCCCAGCAAGCGAAGCGTTCCTCCATAGAGACCCCTGGAGGATCTGGGTGAATTGCTATTCCCTTGTGGTAAACCGGTCGGTAAACCCAATGCCATGAACCAATGCCATAAACCATCACCAGAAATCACCATGAATCATCATGAATCATGATAAATCACCATACGTCACAATTTTTATGGTTGCTACCATCCCCAAATGCTAGGTTTCTTATCGGGTTGCCCCCATTATGAGCCCCAAATTCTAGGATCAGGACATTGCCGGTGTTCAACTCACCCGTTCGTGGGCTTTCGCTGATCAGGGATAGTCCGTATTCTCAGGGTGACAGTTCCAATTCGGAAATGGTAAATTATTAAAGCCTCAAGAAGTCTTGTCTTCTAGTTGGGCCTTATTTTCAGTTTGTTGGGGTTGCCATTATGTTTTTTGAGGCCTTCCTGTTGCATCTTGCAACATCGAACTGGGTCACTATTCTCTTTGGGACAACCCCAGTTGGGCTCAAATCAGGTCTTTTGGTTTACAGCTACACACACAGAGGTATTTTCTGCAGACAGGATTAAAATATCACATCTTAAAACCACAGAATTACAAGGCTAGTAATGATTTGCCTTGCGAAACTAATGGATTTTGGGACTGCACATCGTCCTTATGGGGACAATCCGTAGCCCGTGATTATCTTATGGGAAATCAATGAAACCAATGGGTATAGCCGCCAAAAATCAAACCGGGCCATGGAAAATGACCACGAAAATCACTTTATATATGTGAATTTCCATCTATAATAACTTCACCATTTTTTTCAAACCGACTTTAATTTCGAAGGGGAGATTTCCCATCCAGCCATGTTTGATTCCCATCATGTGGGCATGGCCAATTTCGGATACCCTGCATTTGCTTGTTGGCTTGTTCGTGTGCATTATATATAAGAAAAAATATATATATGTTTTTTTTTTCCAGTGGGTTAACCCAGTATTACATATCTCAAGCAGATTGCTGATTCTATAAATCCCATTTTTACTGGTGAATTCCGCCACTTCTGATTGTTCACCCAGGTAACTTAACGGCACCACCGTGCAAGAACCCTGCACCCAGTCCATCCCAGTCCTAGTTTTTTCAGTGCCAGTAATTTAACCGTTTGCTAAGCTAATCTAAGTAGCCTCTGGTATTTTTTTAGGTTTTGCAAAGCTAATGTATGGCCCATTTCCATTTATAGCTGCACCAAAGTCCCATGGTGCTCAACACCTATATCCACAGGGGCCGAGCACCTCATCGCCAAGACATGGCTTTGAGGTTGTAGCAATTCCAGAGCCAGGGCCGTTGCGGCCATGCCTGGCCATTGAAGCCCATTAAACGGCGCTGCCGGGTTTCGGGGGTTGATCTATAGGCTCTATAGGGATAGAATATGGATATAATATGCGACAAAACCATGGGATGTTTGAGGAGTGCCAGGGCAGGGCTTATTCATGGCTAGTAAGAACCCTTAGATAAAAACCCCGCAGTAGAGTCATGAACTACATGCGGATTTCACCACCAACCACCGCCAATCTGTGTGTTTGATCCCACAAGAGAATTAACACACAATTTATAGCCATTGAGGATGTACATCGTGAGATAATTGTGGGACTAATTCCCCGATTTTGGATATTTTTGGGGCAAACTTAAAATGAATAGGGACTATGTAAACTCTTACATTAGCCTCTGGTAGGCAAAAATGGCAACGGAAAATCCATAATGCCGATCCATTTAAAAATGTTTTTGCCATTCCTATTTTTTTCCTCCATTGCCATGTTTGATTATCGAAAAGAAACAAATTAAGATGTGGTTGGGAAACTGAATTCATAGTTCCAACTGTGCCTGGGGTTTCTTCAAATGTGGGATCCCCAAGTCAACATAGGTTTCAATATTAAAATATATACTGACATGTTCTGGTGACCCGGATGTTTTGGATTGATTTGGGCCTAATGTGGTTTTCACCCGGGCTGCCATAAGCAACTACCATGACTGGGGATGGTTTCAATATCTTGCAATCCCAACCCATCAAAATGGTGATGATTTGGGGATGGTGTATGATGTTTATTGGGTTTTCCAGTTTACCACACTAAGTTGGTTAAACAATGTTATATTCTGGGAAAATTATAATAATTCACAGACCTGAAATAAGGCCATTTGGGGATGATTCCCCTTATTAACCATGATTCCAGTGAGGTCGCAGTGAGGTCGTTATAATTTACCCAGGTTATATATAGTTGGTTATAGATTAGATCCCGATGCAATTCCCACACTAAGTTCCACTGAGTTGGTACCCCATGACTTCGGAAACCAAACTGCCTGGCTCCACTGGCTCGAGCCTGACGCAGTGGCGGTGGCCCAGCAGCCGCCCTCCAACTCAGCGATGGCTGTTTCGTAGGCGTTCCTGACCATGAGGGCCCCGAGAGGCAAAGTCCAGTATACCAATAATATGGGTATGGATCAGTACCTATTAATACCATTTTTAGGGGGATGAACATCCATTTACCAGCTATTTTGGTGTTCACTAGGTACCAGGGTTTTGGCACACTGCCATATTTATTATGGCATGTGTCTGATTCAAAATAATAGCATCTATCACTTTTACATTTACCATCCGTTGGTAATTCTGGAGGTTCATAGATGACTGATTAGATTGATTGTGATAACAGATATATAGGGATTAGTATGACCAATAATTCCCCATTTCACTACTAAGATTGCACCAACACATGGGGATTTATAGATGATTTAAGATAGCTAAGTTGGTTTATAAACTAGGTGCCGCCGCCCGTAGCGGACTCGGCCCTTTTTACCTTTGCAATTTGCAAGTGCAACGTCTCATGTGCAAAGTTCTGTGGGAACCTTGGGAACCATTTGCCACAAGGCATTGCGATGATTGTATCGCCATTGCCATTGGTAGACATAGTTCCAGATCTCAGCATTCAAAGTTTGTTCTTCGCATTCTTTGTATGGACACTGTTTGGAATGAAATCTTTACAGTAATCCCAACATTTGTCCAAAGTCTGCGTGCCAACTGTGATCTTGCGACCATTTTGTCTCCTCACTTCTCTGGCAAACTCCAGCAGCACATGCACTGCCCTGGAATATGCCAAGTGAAGATCCAGAAGATCACGTGTCCCTGCAGATCTCCATGATGTCAACAAGGGAGGAAACGGAACATCAGCACAAAGTAGCAACAGTAGCAAAGTGAGCACTTCAAGCTCAAAAGTCATGGAGACACGAACTGAAAGCCAGGTCTTGCGGCTTCGGAAAATACACACAACCATCAATGCGACTTCCAACATGAGAAAGGAAGACTCGGATCATGCAAAAAAAAACATCCAACCACAACATGTGTGATTCTCAGAAAACAAACATGTTGTTATTCCACCGCCCGTAGTCTTTTAAACCTAGATAATCCACCTATACCGTAGCATGATCCATGTATGCACATGCAAGTAAGACGTCTATGGCATAGCGTGCAACATGTCTTTACCCGAGAGACGTTACCACCCCACCCACCCCACCTGAAGGTATGTGAAATCAGGAAAAGAAGACGTGTGGAGCCTATAGCGTCAAAGATGTGAGCAAGTGCACAGAGACGTTCCCACACGCCCCACCCCACCCCGAGGTATGTGAAATCAAGTAAAGAAGACGTGTGTAGATGCAGACATGATTGCGCATGAAACTTCTTGACATGCAAAAACTAGCAAATTCAGCGAGTCCGCTAGGGGCAGCGGTAGCATAAACTAGGACAGCTTGAATAGCTTGAATGAAACTAAACCCTGGTTGATTAACTTGGGGGCACCCCAACAAATAGTGATGTCAGCTGCTACTAAAACCGCACACAATTACACAGTCCAGTTTGAATATCCGGAGTTGACATTATTGGAGAAGAGATGGATGATAGAAGCAATCCCTTGCCTTCCAGTTTCCACTGAGATAGCTTACCGGAATGATCAATGCAGTAGTGAATTGATGAAATATGATGACGTATATGATGTAGGTCATTAGAAATGTCATCAGAACGGGTGTATAATGCGTCATGATATGCTGATATACTGTAACACAATACTGGCAGTTCATGGTCAGAATAGGAAACATCTCGTTGGTTTCCAATCCAATGTTTAGGACTTGGTGGTTCAGAATTCCACGATCCTGAAACAAATGGATGACTCCAAATTGGTGGTTCTCAGCAAAAAATACACATAGATGATTTTGTGCATTGCCTTTTTCTCCTGGCTTATGCAGGTGTCGCTAGCTACATCCCAAATATCCTCGGGTTCTATACGTCTCCGTGTTTATTGTTCTTCTCATCTTGGCAGTATCATTGACAAACCAATTAACCAGTATCAACCATTACCACCATGACATCGTACCATTCCTGTGTTCTAAAGTGATGTGTTTCATGGTGTTCTGAAGTGATCCCTTTACCATTGCACACCATTACTAACCATTGCTAATGGACAATGAGTATCAACCATTGTTTGCGACCGAAATGAAATGACGTACGAGCAATTCCTGGAACTCCATCACCCAGCGTAAAAAACATGGATTCTCCGACCAGCCATGATCAATTCGCAAATATGTCAGCTACAAGGGGGTACTTTTGACGACAATTATAATTAATATATGGAGGTTTCCTAAAATGGGGGTACCCCTAAATCCGTTTTCAAGGGAGTTTCCATGAAAGAAAGCATCCAGTTATTGGGGGTACCCCCATTGTAGGAAACCCCTCATATGTTAATCAAAATGCCACATATAGCAGTGTGTCAAAACCTTGTACCCCTGGTGAACATCCAAATAGCTGGTAAATGGATGTTCATCCCCCTAAAAATGGTATTAATAGGTATTGATCTATACCCATATGCCAAAAAAAAACGAAGAACATTGGATGGCAACAACTGACCCAGTCGTCCCTTGGTCCCTTGACCGCCGTCCCGAGGGTTTGCCTCGTCGGATTTCCGCACCTGGAATATGCGAAGCGCCCTTCCTGCCGTGGGATTCCCAAAAACTGGCGGAAAGCCATGGGATTTTGCCTGAAGCAAAAGGATGTTTTCTAAAATGGTGCTACCCCAATAGCTGGATGGTTTACTTCATGGAAAATCCCATCTATAAATGGATGATGACTGGGGGTACCCCTATTTTAGGACACCACTATTTTTTTAAAAAAATGTCATGTTTAAGCATCATATTAATCATATTTCTGGAGTAACCAGACACCTGCTCAATATATTAAATTCACCATCTATGGTACCAGTACGTAAGGGACTTGCCATTGCAGGGTGAATGGCAGCACCTTCATCTGCGGCATCAAACCCTGCCACCTTCACCCATCCGATGACATTCTGCCCACAATCCCTACAAGATATAATATGTTTTCCACCACATTTTTTTTCGCAAGTTGGAGCAACTTCCCGAAAACTTATTACATCATATTACATCTGCACCTAATTCTGGCTTTACGATGCTTTACGGGTGTGTTGCTGCGACTAAGGGGTTTGAGAGCACACCCATTATTCCTATTATAATTGGAGTTGAAATGCCAAGAAATATCTCATTCATACAATATATATCATTATTTCATTATATACATATATAATATTTCATTCATATCATTATTCCATGTACAGCTCATATTCCACACCCCCATTTCCTCTCCCAGGTTGGGCTGAACGAAGCTGGTCGCCGTGGTGATGGGTGGAAAGATAGCGCCATGACCTGCGACGAAATTTTCGAGACGTCTAGGCTCTCATTCTTTGGGGAATAGCCTCCCGGCAATGAAACGTACCCTCCAGTAAATTAACATGGACCCTGGCTAAAAATTGGGGTTGGAAGATGAGTTTCCACTCGAAACGGCTTATTTTCAGGGTCTATGTTAATTTACCAGAGAGTAATTGATAAGTAATATTATTTGGATGTTTACATAAATGGGGGGGGGTTACACCAATAGCTGGATGGTTTTTGTTAGGGAAAATCAAATTAAAATGGATGATGCAAGGGGGTACCCCCCATATATGAAAACCCCCATTTAGTTAAATAGTCATTGAGTCATTTATAATCATTGATGAATACCTATATAATCATTTATAGTCATGAGTAATCATGTAAAATCATTTATATATAATCATTGATGAATAATAATCACTAATATGAATGGTTATTACATGTTATTCCTAATCCATACCCTTTGGTTATTTCACTTCGGGACGCCATGGAGCATGATACAAGTTGATGACTTACCTAGCGACAAAGAACCGTGGTTTTCGCGACGTGAAACAAAATCCAGAGGGTACATCCAGTACATTGCGTGGGTTGTGTCAGGATCGGCCCCAGTTTCTTGCCAAACTTCTTTGAATTGAGTGAGTTATTCAGAAGATAACGGGTATAAACATGGTGTCTGATGGTTTTTGCATTAGGCTCAAGTGATAAAGGAATCGATCAACGTTTAATTCCAACTATATTATGTTTATTACTTACTATTATTATTGTTATTCATTGTTATTCTGATTTTTAGTATTCTTGTTATTATTATTACTATTATTATAGTTATGATGATGTTTATCATTATTATTACTGTTCTCCAGTAGTGGTTGCAATAGTTTGTTTTGGAATATGTTTCACTACCTTCTCATGTCACCACTAGTATAAGTATCATGCTTCATGGCTCCGCGTGGACAATGGGACGCAAAAGATCACATGCATCAGTGGGTATGCAGTAATGATATGTCATGATATGATATTATTGATATATTATCCATGTATTATCCATATATTATTGATATTATCATTCCTTATCCGATCACTGATGTATTGATCATGTAAAAACAAGGGATCTGGGGAATTCTGTCTAGAACTGTACTTGTCGAAACAAGTTCTTTTTCAGTTTGGAATCACCATCTCTGGAAAACTTACTCTAAACGCAGGGAACTTTCGGGAATGATCAATTTCATCAGTAATAGTCATCCCCTTCCCCATTCCTAGCCATTCCCTACGTTTAGCACCAGTTCTGGAAAAAGATCCAGCAATTGTTGCGGAAAGGACCGCGAGTCGTGGGCCATTCGGGGCATTCGGGCCATTGTCACTGCTGCATCTTAGGCATCTTAGGCATCTTGGCCATCCCTTCCCTATGGATCCAAACACTGTCTGAGAAGGTACTTAACCCTTCAAATTATAGTAAATTACGTATACCCCAAACACTTCCTAAGAAGATACTTGGATCCATACCATAGGGCTTCTATGCCTGGTGATGTTCGATGTAAAGTGCCAATTTTGGTGGTTGTTGGGATGGTTTCTGGCATTGGGTGAATCCACAAAAAATACACAATTCATTGGGCTGAATGGATGATCTCTGTGCAGTGTGCCCTGAACATCTCCCAAACATTCGAAAACCTTAAGATGACCAGAAGAATATATTAAAGTTGAATTAAAGTATGATTTCTCTTATCATCTCTTATGCGTTTTCACACCTTCGATATGAAATCCATCCAGCAACCCTGTTCGTTGGATCTCAACCATCGCCTGGGTCATGCTGGTCACCCCCATGCACCGCCACTGTCTCGATCTTCAAGCTACGAACCTCGAAGGTCTGTCGCGAAGGGCTGGAATTGTAACTGGATCTTCATGGCTACTACGGTGGTGCCCCCCCAGTTATGTTTGTTGGTTTATAAACCATTGAAAATCCAATGAGATCAATTGATTCCATTTTATTGAGGACCCGCTCCTTAAACAATTCCACATTAAAGAGGATCCAAAAATTGTTTTGGGGGGCCCTACACTAATCAGCATCCAACATTATAGATATATCTACCATAAACCATAGTGAAATTGGAGTTACTGGCACCAACTTAGCTAAGTATGGGGCACCACCTTGTACTTTTTTTCTGATATTGTGATAAACCGTACAAGGCCCCTAGTGCCCCTAGTGTAGCCATTTATGTAACATGGATATATGGGGGTTCTGGAGCCATAGAAACACTGAATTGGTACGCAACACCCCTTTGCCACAACTTGGTACACACGGGAATATGCTCAAAACACACATGAATTACTGGTTGGTGGTTGAGCCACCTTGAGCCAGCTACCCTTTCTGAAAAATATGAGTCAGTTGGGATCATGACATTCCCAACTGAATGGAACAAATATGGAAAAAAAAATCCAAATGTTCCAAACCACCAAGCAGTTTTTACATGTTGACCATGATTTTTTTTTGCAGAACCTGGGGATGGGCCCCCAGGACCTGGGGATGGGCCATGTGGGATGGGCCAGCGATTTCGCCGAGAAAAAACACCAATTTTAAGGATGGTTGAAAGCATATGTTCATAGTGGGATTAATATAAACCATCAACTGGTGATTCGGATTTCCATCCACAGTATGATTCAGTATGATTCAGCCCATCTTTTCGGTCGAAGACTATGATGGAACTGATGGCACCAACAAGTCTGTGGATGAGGATACTGGAACCGCTACAGTTTTTTTTTTCGATGTTTTTTTGGCTATGGGTCAAGAGTTTTTCAGCTCAGAGCCTTGCAAAGCGGAACTATCCTGCACTGAGTTGTGTGCTTTGTTTCAAGATGTTTTCAAAATGATGGTTTCCGATGGAAAATCCTACTAAAATGGATGATTTGGGGTACGTCCATTTTATGGAAACCACCATTTCATACCATTTCAGGGTACACAGTCCTTGAGAAAATCTCTGCGCTGCAGGCCATCATCCAAACCTTTAGGTGGTGAATGGCGGCGTCACGAGTGCCACCTTCATATCAGATTTCTACCCAGGAATTTCCTCTGATCAAACATGGCAATGTACAAATCCACCATTTATTGAGGATTCTCCCAGTGAAACGTCCATTGATGATGTTGTTTTCCCTCGCCATCTTTGATTCTTGGAGGGTCGGACGTGGCAAAAAGGATGATTTTTTTCGCCTTTTGAATATGGGGCTAGACCGCCATTTTGAGAGAAACCCATATCATGTAAAACGATGATATCATAGTTCATTCCAATATATTCCAACTATATCCATCTATGTTCCCATGATATCTCCATAAAAAATCACCAGAATTGCTAGCTAAATCCCCACATGTTGAGAATAACACATACAAAAACCCATGCGTAAAAACTGCCATTTGTTACCTTCGCGTTTCCAAAACTGTCGACAAGAGACCCCAGCTGAGAAACTGCCCAGCTGAGGATAACTGGACCACCGCCCACGGCTGCGGTAGAGCAACCTTCTTGTGGGGAGGTTCCATTGCTGCCATGCCATCCGCCAGCGGAAGGAAAACTAAGTGCCTGGCCAAAGGGTTAAGTACTGAGCCTATGAATCACAATCATCAAAACCTGTCAAAACAGCTGTTCAAAATTACTTTACTTCGTGTGATCCCCACCATGACATTTATACATTTTCTTGCTGGCAAATCTTCTGGCATTCTATCTGACATATCTTCTGACATTCTATTTGGCATTCTATCTGGCATATCTTCTGGCATATGATCTGGCATATCTTCTGGCATATCTTCTGGCATTCTATCTGGCAAATCTTCTGGCATTCTATCTGGCATATCTTCTGGCATTCTATCTGACATATCTTCTGGCATTCTATCTGGCATATCTTCTGGCATATATTCTGACATATCTTCTGCATATTTGGCATTCTATCTGGCATATCTATCTGGCATATTTCTGGCATTCTATCTGGCAAATCTTCTGGCATTCTATCTGGCATTCTATCTTATCTCTGGCATATCTTTCTGGCATTGGGCATTCTATCTGGCATATCTTCTGGCATATGATCTGGCATATCTTCTGGCATTCTATCTGGCAAATCTTCTGGCATTCTATCTGGCATATCTTCTGGCATATATCTGACATATCTTCTGGCATTCTATCTGGCATATCTTCTGGCATATATTCTGACATATCTTCTGGCATATCTATCTGGCATATCTTCTGGCATTCTATCTGGCATATCTTCTGGCATATATTCTGACATATTTTCTGGCATTCTATCTGGCAAATCTTCTGGCATTCTATCTGGCATTCTATCTGGCATATCTTCTGGCATATTATATCTTCTATCTGGCATATCTTCTGGCATATACTCTGGCATATCTTCTGGCATATCTTCTGGCATATCTATCTGGCATATCTTCTGGCATATCTTCTGGCATATTTTCTGGCAAATCTTCTAGCATTCTATCTGGCATTCTATCTGGCATATCTTCTGGCATATATTCTGACATATCTTCTGGCATTCTATCTGGCATTCTATTTGGCATATCTATCTGGCATATCTTCTGGCATATCTTCTGGCATTCTATCTGGCAAATCTTCTGGCATTCTATCTGGCATTCTATCTGGCATATCTTCCGGCATATATTCTGACATATCTTCTGGCATTCTATCTGGCATTCTATTTGGCATTCTATCTGGCATATCTTCTGGCATATCTTCTGACATTCTTTCTGACATTCTTTCTAACTTTCTTCTGCACATTCTTTGTCCCATATCTTCCGACATGAGGTCCGGCAGGGAACACTTGGCGTGGATACTCGCGGTTGAGGTCCGGCAGGGAACACTGGGCGTGGATGGTCGTGGTTGAGGTCCGGCAGGGAACACTGGGCGTGGATGGTCGTGGTTGAGGTCCGGCAGAGAACACTGTGGATCGCGGGTCGCAGTTGAGCAAGGACGACGAGGACGACGAGGACGACGAGGACGACAAGGACGACAAGGATGACAAGGAGGATGAGGAGGAGAGGAGGAGGAGGACGAGGCAGGAGGCAGGAGGAGGCAGGAGGAGGCAACTGACATAAAATCTAACAACCCTCACCTGGCAGGTGGGGAAAAAACATCAGTATTTCAATCATTAAAACAGTACTGGTTGGTGGTTTCAACCCCTCTGAAAAATATTAGTTAGATTGGATCATCATCCCAACTATTGGGAAACATAAAAAATGTTCCAAACCACCAACCAGAGTATGTTCAATTTTCAAACTTCCAAAAACACGGCATCTTTTTGAGCTATTGAAGTCTCATAAGTGCCGCGGGACGATGTGGAATGCGGCTAATGCTTGGCACAGCTTGGCACTGAAGAAAACCAACAACGGGGCTGCTGTATGGTACAAAGAAACAAAGATCATTGAGCAGGTGTCAATATATCCTCTAGACTCTATATCCATCATTATCCATCTATATCCTCTGTTCTTTGTTGATGCATTTAAGTTCTTTTCTGAGGTGGTCGTCATGCCGACCTGTTGGGGAAACACCCATTGTTGGAATATGCTCTCACAACGACTGTTTCACCACATCCCTTGCGCAGGCAAGAGGTGTATAAAGCTCAAATGGCGGCGACTTAGCTCAACTGCGACAAGCCTTTCCTGAAACCTTTCTGCACAAAGTGTCACTTAAGTGAGTTTGAAGTGTTCTGACACATGCATGAAAATTGGAGCGATGTGCTTGGCATCAGGGTCATTGAACTGCGACGGATCAGAAAAGTCAGAAACCTCATGAATCAGCTTGCCCATGTTCCCACGTCCCAGTTGTACCACTTTTGTAACTACATTCCCGTGGCAATGGGTCAGCATGTTTTGCACTTATTAGTGTTGATCGCATCCCAAAAACATCTCAAGATTCTCCCAAAATGGGGAGAATCAATTACCAATCCTTCATGGCAATTCAATAGGAGAAACATGCTGTCTGAACAATTTTTGATTTTGAAGAGGGGTGTTGTTCAAGTGTCCGTCAACAATGCCATATTTCATTTAAGTCCTTTCGGGTGCGTCAATTGGGTACCTCCAAAACAAGTGGAGGGTTCGTGAAAGAAAGAAAAACACAATCCATGGTTGTCCGGGTCTCAATTTGACCCTGGTTTCAGTGGGACAAGATATCCTGGTTATCCGACCAAAAATATGTGTTGACACATTGAAATCAAACAGAGTTGGGGAATAGGGACGATAAGTTTTAACCATGTTGTTCTAAGATGCGATTGATTGTACCCCTGCGGCTAAAAATCTCAGGTACCAAAAGCAAGATGGTCTAGTACCACAAAATGACCAAATCGGATAACTTGTTGACCCACATTTCAGAAACAACCATATGATGGTGTTCACCACAAATCAAACCATAGAATATATACACATATGTATGTATGTATGTATGTATATATATATATACATTTAAATATACACCAGAAATCCTATATTTATATAATTCACCCAGTGAGAAACAAATTTGTACATCCTATCTAAAAAACAATCGTTTAAGTCTATCTCACTCTCACCGATTGGGCCTATAAACCCTTAACTGAATGGCTGGTTGGTGGTATACCTACCCCTCTGAAAAATATGAGTTAGTCAGTTGGGATGATGACATTCCCAACTGAATGGAAAGTCATAATCCATTCATGTTCCAGTCACCACCAACCAGATTATCATCAGTATACCAACCATGGTTCATAGATATTAATGGTGATTATTGGTGATATTAATGATGATTATCACTGGTTATAAATGGTGATATTACCCTTTGGTAAACGTTTACATAACTATGGAAAGATCCACCATTTTTTAATGGGAAAACTATGGAAAATCACCATTTTCAATGGGTAAACTATGGAAAATCACCATTTTTAATGGGAAAACTCACATTTTCCTGTTCCAACCAGATGGTGATTCATTTCAGCCCTATGCTATCTCGACCGTTCAAATCGTTGGCGTCGTCAGGGGCACCAGGCCAGGCCGGGGGAGAGCAGCAAGGATTTCTCCATAATCTTTCGACCCTTCACGATCCAGGCCTGACGACGTGGGATGGTCGTCCAATGGTCGTTGCGAAAAAAACTGGGACTCTTCTGTATATTTCCACAGATGATATATATATATATAATATATATATACACTCTATCTATACTGTATCTATCTATCTATCTATCTATATTTATATATATATCTATATACATATATATATATATGGAATCTCTGGTTGCCCAGTTATTTATGACCAGTCTGAGAGATGGAAACCTCACACTTCATTCATGTCGCTGCCATTCGCTGCTGCTCATCCGCTAAGCCTTTCTGAGTAAAACAACTTATTTTCTTGATGTGGTGAAATGCCGCAGTTTGCTGCTTGCTTGAAACATCTTTGGGTATGCCTCATTATATGTAATACCATCTGGTTATCTAACATAGCCATGGAAAGATCCACCATTTTTAATAGGTAAACCATCTATAAATAGGCCATCTATACCATGGCTATGTTAAATAAACAGAGGGTAGATCATGTTGGTGCCGATCATGCGGATGTGTTTGCTACGATCTCCATGAGGCCCGCGGATCTCCCCGAATGATTGTCAGTGGACTCCCTGTTTTTCGTTGCGTTCATCAGCATCGCCATCATAATCGTCATCGTAATCACCACCACCACCACCACCACCATCATCATCATCATCATCATCATCATCAAACTCATCAAACTCATCATGGCTGCTGGCTCACCATTTTGTTTTTACTTTTCTTGCTGGATGAAGCCCAATTTTGTTGTGTTGAAATTCCCCACTATGACGGTTCCTAGTCCAACTATGGGGTTGTCTGAGAATTGTGTACCCCCAATTCCAGACGATTGTCATAGTTTGATATATTTTGTCCATTGAACGTTGCCAAGAACTAGGGTATATCAACAATAGATGCTGATAATGACTGGGAAACAACTCCATCAATGAGCAATTTTCATCCCAGGATTTCATTGTTGAGGCATGTTGAGAACATAATTTTCCACATGTTTGGCCATCACTTGGGCTATAGAGTTATGGCCCGAAATACCAATTATAAGTACTGAGTCACACCATTTGTGGAATGTATAATGGTGGTAAAACAGTAATAAACCATCCCCAATTTCATCATAAATAGGCGGTATAAACATGTATAAACCATTCCCAAATGGGTAGTTTATTATTGTTTTTCCCACATTAATCCCATTTATAACCAGTTATAATTAATAAATGGCCATAAAATCCAATTCAATCTGACAAAACGCCATCCAAAATTCCATAAATCTTACAAATCCCATGAAAATCCTATGAAATCCTCACTTTTCTACCCATTTTTCCACAGCAACGTTAAAGGCACAAAATCACCCGCCGCACCGTCTCGTTCCGTGGCTCTACCTCGATGGTGAGCTGGGATGGCGACCGTTTCTGTTTCTATGTGGGGTGAACTAATAGGATTCACCATCACCACTAGTAGCTATGGTTAATATCATCTTATGTAGATATGAAACATCCATAATAATATATACAAATATATAAACATATATATATGTATGTATTTATATATATAATATAATATATATATATATGGATATATATGGTTCTTATATCATGTTATATCTCCATTATCGCTATTATCAAGGGCCGAGTTCACCATCCATGGGGATAGCTATCGGCCATGCTCTGTCATCGGGGAAAAGGGCCGCCTTGGATTCGCAGAACCGTTTGGCGCTGGTCAAATCCCAATTTCTGATAATTAATTCATGGTGAACCAACGTTTACAAACATGTCTGATGTTAAACATGGTTAAACCAATCCTGGTTGGTGGTTGAGCCTACCCCTCTGAAAAGTATGAAAGTCAGTTGGGATGATGACATTCCCAATATATGGAAAAATGGAAAATGTTCCAAACCACCAACCAGAATCATATTTGATGGTAATTTATCTTATTTCATGGGCAAACAACGATGCCCTTCCTATTCAAAAAAACAAACAAAAGTTGGAACATCTTCAATATCACGGGCAAGGCATGGCAATTTCATGAAACAACCACGGATTTTCCCTAACACATCGTGTTGAACGCAGCCCCAAACATGGAGGTATACCCCTAAATCATCCCTTTATAGATGGATTGTCCATTATCAACTAACCATCCATTTTAACAGGATTTTCCCTTATAAACCATCCATTTTAATAGGATGTTCATGGATTTTCCCTCAAAAACCATCCATTTTTGGGGTGTCCCCATTGAAAAAAAACACAGTCCGCTGGGTCGTCCCTGCCGGACCAATGTACATATCTGGTCGTTTTAGCACATGCTCCCGCTGCTGCAAGAGCTGGTACCTATGGAAAACCACGAGTCGTCACGAGTCGTTTCAACGGTTTTTTTTTTTGGTAAATCAACGAACTAATTTGGCATATAATTGAAAAAATGATAACTGATTGGTTATACCCTCTGGTAATGACTAACAGTTTGCTATTGAACATGGACCATTTAGTTCGTTGATTTACCGAACTTAAAGATCGTGATTTTCCATAGTTATTTAAACATTTGCCAGGGGCTAAATCATCAACGGGCCAGTTTCCATAGCTATGTGAGGGTTTCCATCAATGGGGGTACCCCAAAAATGATGGTTTAAGTTTATATGGAAAAACCATCTATAAATGAAGAAATCTCCATATATATATGGTTTAATATGGTTTAATATGGTTTAATATGGTTTAATATGGTTTAATATGGTTTAATATGGTTTAATATGGTTTAATATGGTTTAATATATATATGTGTACCCCCATTTTGGGAAACCTCCATATATAGCTATGACAGGAAAGGCCCCAAAACAAATGATATAGTGGTTTAATAACTAGGCTAACGACTAGATTTCTAGTGGATGTAGCTATAGTCCAAGGCAAGTTTCATGTTCAAAATGATGATCATCCAAACCTTGTGAAGAGAAACCACTTGCGACACTTGAAACAACCAAAATGGAGTGTTCCCAACTCAAATGCAGCCCGACAGTCCCAAGTAGAAGTGGCGCAATTGTTTTTTCGCAGCCAAGAGGGATTAAGCCAATGCCAATGCCAGGCAGAAACCAATGATATTGAATGGAACGAGGATCCATTTTGAGAGAACCCGAACCCAAATATGTCCTTTTGATCTTTTTTGGAAATATTCTCCCACCAAAAATTCAGTTAGAATGTACTGGATCCATTCCTTTTGGCCAAAAAGAGAAGGAATTCAATGGGAAAGGAAGGGATCAATAGCTTTGGGCGAATTTGCATCAATAAAAAATGATGTTGGGATATATATAGTATCTTCAATTCCTTTTGGTCAATACTTTTTTTAATCAATATATATATAAATATATATATATATATCAATGCTTATAGCATTGACCAAAAAAAATACCCTCTGGTAATTTAACATAGCTATTGAAAATTGCAATTTATAGTTGTTTTACCTATTGAAAATGGTGATGTTCCATAGTTTACCCATTAAAAATTGTGATTTCCCATAGTTTACCCATTGAAAATGGTGATTTCCCATAGTTTACCCATTAGAAATGGAGATTTTCCTTAGTTTACCCATTAAATATGGTGATTTTCCATAATTTACCCATTGAAAATGGTGATTTCCCATAGTTTGCCCTTTAAGAATTGTGATTCCCCATAGTTTACCCATTGTAAAATGGTGATTTTCCATGGTTGTTTAAACATTTACCAGAGGCTACATCAACCAACCAGTGGAAGAACGACCGTTCAGCTCATCCCAGAGGTGACTTAAATCTAGATATTGTTCTGGCTATCCTCATCAAGATATGTATATAACTGTGTATATATATATACAGCTGGTTGGTGGTTGAGCCACACCCCTCTGAAAAATATGAAAGTCAGTTGGGTTGATGACATTCCCAATATATGGAAAAGTAAAACATGTTCCGGACCACCAAGCCATATGTATATATAAATAGAATAATAATAATGATAATAATAATCATATGTTTCTCATTGTTGCGACCTTATTCCACTTCGGTTGCTTGTTCCAGGTATACTAAATGGTCATAAATGATCCATCTCAAATCCACTTGTTTTTGCTGACGTCGTCCAATACGGCCCCGGGGAATTTGCTAGTTTTTAATAAACATGGGTTGGGGTGGGGTGGGGTAGGATGTTAACGTTCATGGTACGCTGCTGATGATGTTACGCTGCCCGTTGGGGTTGGGGTGGGGTGGAATGTTCACGTTCATGGTACGCTATGATGTTACGTGTTACGCTGCGCCGCTGCCCGTTGGGGTGGGGTGGGGTGGGGTGTTCATGGTACGCTGATGATGTTACGCTGCCCGTTGGGGTTGGGGTGGGGTGGGGTGGGATGTTAACGTTCATGGTACGCTGATGATGTTACGCTGCCCGTTGGGGTTGGGGTGGGGTGGGGTGGGATGTTAACGTTCATGGTACGCTGATGATGTTACGCTGCCCGTTGGGGTTGGGGTGGGGTGGGGTGGGATGTTAACGTTCATGGTACGCTGATGATGTTACGCTGCCCGTTGGGGTTGGGGTGGGGTGGGGGGGGATGTTAACGTTCATGGTACGCTGATGATGTTACGCTGCCCGTTGGGGTTGGGGTGGGGTGGGGTTGGGATGAATATGTAGATAGATAGATAGATATATATATATATATATGTATATGTGTGTGTAAATGGCTATCAATTCAAGCCGAACTTATTCATTTGTCGTCATTCACATGTCGTATTGAGCTTCGATCTTGGAGGCAGTAGCATCTCCCGGATTTCATTTATGTGTGTCAGTTTGGCGAGATTCAGTTTGCGGTAATTAATTTTGCAAGAATTCATTTCTGCGAGCTTTCAGTTTGCGAGATACGAATTTTGATAAATTAAGAACCAGTAGCAGGGGGCCAGCGCATGGCATCACGACGCTGGCCAACGAAGCTAGTGATGTCATGGAAAGCAGTTGGAGACGTCCAACTGTGTACCTGCAAAGAAGTTTGAAACTTTTGACAAGCTGTCATCCTTGGTATGTTTTGAGAGTCCTTTGAACTGCAATGTGTATCATGTTGGCAAGTTCACCCTGTCAGCACGTGTGACGTCCGATCTCGTAAGGCCACTTAGGTTCATCAAGGCGTATACATCTTCATCACCATATCGAATCTCATCGCGTTCCTTACGGAACCATATCTCAGTGTGTGCATGCCTGTTTGTGTCAGGTTACACACACACACATATATATATATATATGGATATATAAGTATATTGTATATATATATATACTTGCATATATGTATATAAGAATCAGTGTACATGTCCAAGTATGCAAGGTATGTGTCTATGTCTGGTCTATCATGTATGCAACACGATCCTAACATATTGCTGGCTTCCAAGCGTTTTTTTTTTCGCTGATTTGCACATGGACTTGTAAAACCCATTGGAAATAGCACAAAATGGACACAAAGTGCTGTAAAACGCAAGGCATTTGAACATGGCGCAAAATCCATGGTGACAGAAAGTGCCATAAGGGTTATCGAAATAGCAAGATGCTTGTTTTCAAAACAAACAAAAACAACGGGACCGCAATGGACGACGTTACCTTGTTTTTGGAAAACAAGCAAGTTCCATGTTCTCTTGAAACACACAACATGCCGAGCTGAAAACAAAAATCGGAAAATTAGAAGAACATACAACAGCAGCTGTATATAGACTCTGGTAATGACTCACAGTTTTACCTAACTTTAGAAAATGGCACACAGAAATAGCTGCTTTACCTAACTTAAAAATGGTGTATGTCAGAGGTTAACAAAGCCGACCAGTTTCAGCGCACAGCTCGCTGCGGCTGCCCGCAGGGTTGCCTTGCTCTGGTGCCTCAAAAAGCTTGGAAAGGTCACGTTCTTCGGCGATTCACATGGATATTACTATGGATAATGGAGTTGAATTCATACATTTTAGATCCAGTCGTACCTTCTTTGAAAGGATTTAGGGTGTGATTTAGGGGGCTATGTACCTCCTCAGAAAGTCTTTGGATCCATAGTGATATAGTTTCAATAAATATATATATATATATGTATATCTTGGTATAGTTTTTTTGGGGAGAAACCACGAGAAGGGTTTAGCCTCGGTGTTTTTTTTTTTTAAGACACGACTGTCTCAGAAAAAAAAAAAACAGGCTTCAAGGGGCTCAATCGTCATAAAGGTTTTCTATTTTTTAGTGTAGCAGTTTGAATCAGTGGAACTTAAAATGATTATAAATGCTGGAATATATTGAAATTAAATATCAACAATGATCTACAATTAATTATTCTATCGTATTTTATCCACTTGTCCAACCATCTCTGCATCTATCATCATCTGTAAGGATGTAGCAAGGCCAATAGAGCACTTGCAGTTCTTCCACTTTTGGTAGGGGTTGGCCAGGAGCCAAGTCCAAAAATTGCCGTGGCAGCGCAGAAAATAGAGCCTGTGACTCGGTCTTAAAGATTTTTGGCTAAGAAGATTCTCCGTAGGGGGCCTCTTGCAGTTGCATTGTGTGGATGGAAGATGAGGTTGTCTTCCAAAGCAACATGGAGAGCTGGCCACACAACTATCCAACATTGACTACGCTGCAATTTGCCCAGCAAACTACTGGTTTTACCTGGTGGAGCGCTATCATGGACCTGATGAACTCGTTCAAGCTGAGACCCCTCCCAACACTGTTGGGGCGGGCTGCATGAGTTTCTGGTTTTTGCACCGCCCGAATGAAGGCTCTTCTGGTGCAATACAGGGTTGGGAGTCACTCGACGTTCTGTTCGGACACTGTGACTGGGGCCCCTCTGGCAATTCCCGGAGTTATATACATGGTTTTTCGAGGTTCTGGACGTTCACTATGTGCTGCTCAGCATGTAGATGTTGGTCATGTGCTTTTAATAAGCGGCCAAGGAACCGTGCAGATCTTACGACAATGCTGGGAAATGCGGTGCTTGGGGCGAGCGCCACCAGCGATGGACTTCCAGGTCGAGTCCCTCTAACTTCTTGGTGTTTCAAATCGATGGTGTGGCGCCAGTGCCATATTCACCCGGCCGGTACAGTCAGCCAAATGAATTGCCACGTTTTCCAAACTGGGTCTGATCCTAGTGATGCTTATGGCTTGAATGTCCACTTCAAACTGGAGTGAACTATTTGAAATACGTGATGCTACAAGTACAACTCGTGAATCGAAGTGGGATGAACCAAGTGATAAAAAATAACAACCACCTTTGTTTGAATAAACCAGGATTAAGATTCATCAACCATATTATTGATTGAGTCGCATCCGCCGCCAGGCCCCACGATCCACAGAAACATGGGTGCCTGTTGTCGACAGGCTAAGTCGATCTTGCGCGATGGCGACAAAGACAGCCACGCCTGCGCCAGCGACCCAAGCATTGGCCGTGACATTGGCTTTAAAAGTTCTGAAGATAAGAAATTCATCACCTCTAAAAACCGGATTTTAAGCTTCGGTGCTTTGTTTTCTGATAGGATAGACATATCAGGACAATTAGGATGGGAGGATGACACAGCATTTCGGGGCGGCTGACTGGATTTTTATTTTTACGGTATAGCCATCGATGACACATACACTACTATCTCAAATATGCTCAAACATCCGCAACCTAGGCTATCACTCATGTATAGTTTTGTCGGAAACTCAAGTCATTTCCGGATGGTGGAGGGCCTAAGTACATGGAGGGTCGAATAGAACATCAATTGAATCCCGATCAAATCGGGGCAGCATGGCAGCAATATCAACGCACCATGTGGCAACCCAAAAAAATATAGAAAGATCGAACCCCGCTAAAGTAGTTGCATGTTGGTTTTCTTTTCACGGCATAATAGTACTAGACTCTAGACTATATTAATTTATCTGTTTGGTTACTCCGCAAGGTAAATATATAATGGAGAATAAGCTCCTCTATCGGAATGCTTGAAAGCCAGCGATTCACATAGAGCCCCCTCTCAATTTAGATCTCGTTTGTGGGTTCGCCCCTGTAATTGCTTTATTAAACCACAATGTTCATCATTATCATCGAGTGATAGACGGCGAACTTTATAACACCTCATGTTCCCGACACAATGACATCTTCGGGTATGAAGTACCTAATATCATAGGAAGTAAGACAGGGCTGGCAAAGACAGACCCCTGTCAAGTGAGGCAAATGTGTTTATTCTCTTCTATCCTCTTTATCTCTCTGCTAGCCTCTTCAAAGCTCTCTATGGCTCTCTGTGGCTCTCTGTGGCTCTCTGTAGCTCTCTGTGGCTCTCTATGGCTCCCCATGGCTCTTTGTATTTTCTGGGTAACCACTCCAACCATGATTTCCCTCTTAACAGCTCTTATGCACTCTGCCCGGTCTTTTGCAGCTGGCATCATGGCCCAAAACCAGTTCACAGAGAAGGACTGGCATCACGAGAGATTTCTCACGCTAGGTCCAGTCAGGGTCAGGGTGTGGCCGTCTGCATCTGATGGTGTGCAGGGGCAATGGGCAGCTGTTGATGTGTGGATGTCCATGAGAGATGTCGATCCAATACCCAGCCCAGATGAGAGGATGAAAGCTCGATCCTTTACAGGTTTACTCATGTTTTCTTGTCTCAAAGAACTCCAACCAACAAAAGACTTTACATTTAAGTTGTGTTTTTTATGTCTGGTTTCCCAAAGCTTGCAAGGACGCAAACTCAATGAACGGATGTCCAGCATGGTGGAAGTTCACAAGTTGATTTGGGCACAGCAAGAGCCACAACTTCTGGTATGCATCAGGGATAAGAACAGACAAAGACAGGAGGCCTGAATATTTTTTGAATTTCATATGGTAGCAATCACTACAAACAAAACATGTAATAAGCACATCCAATAATATAATATTTTTTTGACATAAAAACACAATTCACAATCACTAGCAAATGTTTAATCTTTGAACAATTCATTGATAGCATTCCGAAGAAACATGGTATCCATTTATGCCACACATACCGCTGTCTGTCAGGCCGAGAACCGAGTGTTTGCAGAGAAGACGGTCCCTACGTCAATGGTCATTGCGATGTTGGCTTGGGGGCTCATGACACCACGGGTCCAGCTAGCTTTGTCCAAACGAACATGTGACTTTGTGAATGATATTGTTGAGCGTTGCACTTCAACGACAACACCACTGGAGCTAACCCTCATCCCAGAGTACTTGCCCAGATCCTAGGCAGGTCAAGAATTGTATTATGACATACTATGCCTAATTTAGATTCGATTAGATCAGACTCTGATGACTGAGAATGACAATATTGACTTATGTTGATTTAAAAAATAAAATAGGTCTATGAATTCCTGAGTCCAACTTCTGACTTAATTCTAAGGGCCTCAAACCCCTTCTGACCCCTGGGCCACGTGATGCACGCTCAGGAATGCCACAGGTGACCATCACTTTCAACCATGGGGATTGCTTCCCCCTTCGCTGGCTTATTCGGGGGGCAGATGCTGATATGGTGCTGTCTGTATGGGATTCTGATTTGCGCGTGACTGGGTCACACATGACTGGATGTGGGATCTGGGTGTGGAATGAGTCACCTGAATGTGGACTTCAGCTCAGAGTTCAGGATCTTTTCCCCACGTTACAAGTGACACGAGTAAGACATGAGCATTATATAATATAAAAATTGAATCTGATTATTTACTATTATATTACAACATCAAATATAAGGTGTTGTTTTGTTTCTACGTGCTATTTGTTTTCATTCATCTGTCAATCTGTCCCAGGGGGAGGGGGCAGGTCAGGTAATTAAATCACATCAAGTAATGGCTGATACTGTGCCACACATTAGACACTCCAGATTCCAGGGGCTCAGAAGCTATTGGGGTCGTGTGCCTTTGGCACCGAGCCTAGGACCTTCAGAAGCCTTGGGTCACTGCAGTCCCTGCAAGTCCATCACTGGCATCGGTTCTCGCTTTCTGCTTGGACCCGTAACTTGGAAATAAATCAATGAAGCAACATTGGATCCCCAAATTCAAACCAGTCCATAGGGCTACTAGTATTCTACTTTGATCAAGTCTGTTCATATTTATATTTGACTTTCTCTGTATTATCATTATCAGCCAGTGCCAGTCAGACCCGGGAGAACCCAAATATAATTATCAGCCAGTGCCACGCCAACTCACTCAGCACCAAGGAAGCATATGAACCGATTTCCTCGACACCGTGAAGTGTGGAAGTATCTCAAAAATAAGGGGCTTTCCCTACTGTCCCAGATTGGAGCCCATCTAGATTCTGAGCCAAATTCAATCAAGTATTATATAATGTTTTCCCCTTGTTTTTTTTCGTCTCCTTGCCCAAATCAATGTTTTACTGCCTTATCAGCGAGACAAACAGCAGCAGCTAAGGATCTGCATTTGATGGGTCTTTGCAATCCGGAACCCAGGGTTCGGAAAGCCCGCTCAAGACTCACCATCGCAGAGAAGTTCCAAATTGTGGACAAAGTCAGAAATGGAGAGTTCCATGTCACAAGGTGGTAAGGTGTTCATACCCACTGATCAAGGTAAGAGGTTTGTTCTGAAAAAAGGTTGATTCCAATTTCCCAGCCCCATCCAGCCCCAGTCTCCTTGATAGTTTTGATCCGGTGCATTGATTGAGGTTCTTCACCTTGACCAAAGCGCTGATTGACTCTCGGGTCAAGCTGGATCCACACTACATGGCACTGTGGGACATGGTGAGGGCCTCAAAGACAGAATTTCAAACTTGTTGTGGAAACTAACTTCCAAACAGAAATCATGTCAGGCCCCCAAATGTCGAAGTCAGAGAAGAATGACTGTTTGAATTTCAATCACTGTAGGTGGATGTTCTTGTCAACGTGTACAACCCTTGTTCCCAAATCAACACCAAAACATGTGGGGATGTCTCAAAATGAGGTGTCCGTTTTTTCCCTTAAAGTAACCATTTTGGAATTAAAAACGGACACCTCATTTTGAGACATATCCATGTCAGCTTATTACAGATTGATATGGACCGTGTTTTCCATCAGTTAACAGTATGTTTAGCTTTAACATTCAGTCTTTTGAAATGACATTTAATGACAAGTGAAGAACTCAGGATGATTTTCATATAAGGGTGTCAGTGAGATCAGAGATTTGCCACCTCAACTGTCCAAAGGCCATCTACGTCAAGAAGGTGCAGAAGCTGTTCAGCATGACCCCTCATCTTCATGCCCCTTGACATTTACATTGGACTTATATCAGGTTATCAGATTCAAGGGTTCGATGTTATTATATATTTATATGATATAGATTTCTAAATTAATTAGAACATGGACATGACATAACGAAAACACTCAGTGAAAGCAACAAAAACAAATGAAGGACTGAGAACCAATCAGTCATTTTTGGTGAAGTCTTCAATTCAACGACATTGTTACAGTTCCCATGTACTGTACTGCCTATGACTGTCTGATACTCCGACCTGAGGTCAGCTTTGATGGATCCGTCGTGCAGAAGATCCCAATTGAGTGCTACAAGTTTCACAGTTTTTTTGGCTGCAACTGTAGTCTTAGCAAACAACAGGAATGCCTTGACATTACATCCACTTCCAATGGCTTCAATTAAAATTTAAATGGTAAATTCCCGTGTGTTAAAGTTCATTTGATGTCCTATTATAGGGACCCTCCCCAGTGGTCAGTCATCCAGTGGCCAGTGGTCCTAGGTCCAGTTAATTAATCTATCTCATGAACCAGATGAAACCCATAGGTCACAGTCAGGCTAACCCCTAGTCCAATTCGCTTTTGCATTCCCGCCTCAGGTTCTCAGTTCAACATTGGTTGCTATGGCTTGCCCCTGGCATCTGGTCTGCACGTGTTGAATGTCAGGGTGGAATACTGGGCCCAGACACACGACATGACAAGCCACAAATGTTGGCGCAATAGAGTTACCACCAATCGGTGTATTTTTTTTGTGACTGGATTGGATATGACTGATATATACTGATATCAGCAGAATCAACTCAGGCAGTGCAATCAAAACAAGCCCTGCTGCCATTTTTCCGTGGGGTACCAGCAATGTCACAGACTGTGAAGTGTGAGAACTCAAGGACAACATTCAGGTGTCCAATCATGTCCAACCAATATCATAGTTGTTTACATTAGTTCTTCATGATTCCAATGCCCACTTACCCAACAATTGATTATTCAGTACCATCGAGTTACTAAACCGACTGTTCAATTCTGAATTCTGTCCCTGTGGTTTGACACTGGTATTTGTTTCACCCGGTCTCCGACAGTTTTCCTCCCATCATGGCCGCCTGTGATGGGCACAGCGATGTTCCTATGGGACTGGCTTCTTCTTCTACTTGCGGCTTCCAGAAGCCTTGCAGTGAAGTTGGCTCCATGGATGACTGTGGCATGTCATACACTACGGGCAGTGATGATTCAACGATCCCTGCTACACAAAGCTCAGTGTTTCAACAGGACAGATAATGGTTTTTCAAATAAAGAAATAAAAGTTCCATATTGACTTGGCATATATTAATTTAATATTACTACTATGTCAGATGTTGTTTAACTTAACTGGCTGGTTACCTTAGGGACATTAGCCCGGGTCATCCACCATGAATCAATGAATGAATGGATCTGCATTTGTTCTGATTATAAAAAAATGTTTATAAACAGAACAGCCTTGTCAAGAATAGTACAGTTCTATAGAAATAAGTCCTAATGGGCAATCATAACATCAAAGTCGGTTTGAAAATTCTTCCACTGGTCCATATAATATAAAATTTCAGTGGCCCAGGCCCATCGAATCTAGTACTACTGGGGCAGCATGGGGGTGGGGACCACCAGGACCATGACTGGACTCGTTTGTTGGGGGCAGCCGACTCGATCAAGTCAGCCTGGAACGTGGTCGCTTCTCAGATCCCGCCTCAAATCCTCTCTGAGACTCAAATGCATTGATGGATTTGGTGAGCAGCCCTGAATTCTATTAAATCTAATTTCATAGTATAAATTGTAATACATCTGACTGATAAGATCCCAACATGATAAAATATTTCTGACTGTTTTACCAACTTAGTACCAATTATATCAGCCTCCACTTCCCCCTCCAGCCGGTGACTTAGGAATCTTGGCTTCGCCATGCTTGCGGAGCCACCTCTTTCTGCACAGGCTCAGGCACTGCAGAGATGTCTCGTGCTCTCCTGGAGAAGAGCATCAACGAGTCTGGGAGGGCCTCTTTCCATGTGTCTATCCCAACAGTTGCAATGTGGGACCCTTGTAAAATGCACTGCATCAACTTTTCTTTTATCTGGTGTGTAGGCACATAAATATATTAACATGGGGATGGTTTAACATGGAAACGATTTGGGTACACCAACTGAATCGAAGTAGTAGTGACTTACCAATTAATAATGTTGACAAAATAGTATTATTTGTCTATTGAGGGCCTATTGATTTTTTATCTGTCAATATTGATGGTCCCAATTAATGAGAATGATACTGGGTACTAATAGAATTTAACAAGAATCACTTCAATGACCATCCCAGGAAAAGGACAGCAAATGCCAGAACGTTATTGGGGATGCCTTGGATTGGTGTCAAGCCGTAGCATCTCACAATGTCTCTGGCCCGTGTTTGTTCTCTGACATTTTGGATTTGTTGCCGCATGGGACACTCGACCCATTGTGGCCATACTCCAAGAAGCTTGAGGCAGTGAAAGAGAGTGGCATTGCCACCCAAGCTCATTGCATTCGGCATGGCCAGGTGTGCAGTGTCAACAAAATGGCAGTATTCGACGTGTCCGGACTACCCTGTCCTGACATGTCGGTTTGTGGTCTGCGTAAAAAACGTGCAGGGCCCACAGCTGGAGTCTACTTAGCCCATGGGAAGTATGTGAGCCGCAACCGGATCCCACTTTTGCTGATTGAATGCACTGAAGAATCTCAACATGATTTAATGCCTTTAGAAGACTCTCCTACTTATAAAATATGTTTATTTATTTATTATTATAAGTTAATATTGTCATTGTTTTGTTGATGATACTTTCACCATAACCCTTAATTAATATATTTGTTTCATTTCCGGTCTCCAATCTTGGCCCTCTTAACCGTGATTGTCAATTGCTAAGGACCTGGATATGGGGATGGTCTCAGACACCCATCCAGACTATCATTTTCATCAACTGTTTAGTGAGCCTTCCGACTTCCTCTACAATGGCTGTGCTAGGTGGCGAACATGGGTTATCGGCACCCACAATGAGCTCACAACCTGTTTGATTGACCCTTTTGCACTCCTTGAAAAAGTCAAAGCCGTGCTCAATGAATCACAGGAGCCCAGCATCATCAAAGACTACCTGGTGGCGTCACAGCCAGAGATTTTGATGGAAGCCCAGGACTTGGCCCAAAAAAGGGGGATTCCCTTCCGGCCTGGACGCCTTGATTTAGAATATCTTTTGCTGACCAGGGAGTATCAGGCCATGTGTCAACTCAACTGCCGATTTAGGGAGCAGTATGGAAAATCCCCGAGTGAGGAGGAGGGGCTGGTTTACTATTTGGGGGACAACCCCTCGTTCTCAGCTTCGTGGAGCGCACGGAGTCAGAAAATACCCACATTTAGGGTAGGGGCCAAATCAGCTCTGTACTGGCTACCCAAGCAGAAGCGATGGCTTACTTGCAAAGAGAAGCTAGTGTCAATGGGCTGGCCCTGCTTACCAGAGATAGGGAGAAGCCTTGGTACACCCTTGTTTGGAGCCACAGACCCAAAGAGGGCCAGTGATTTGCTGGGAAATGGAATGCATTTCCAATCTTCAGGAATTTTTCAGTTGATCGCCCTCAGCTGTTTTGGTCCCTTCAAATGACATGATGTAAAGAACAGTAACCAGAACCATGGGTCTTATTACATGAACCACTTTGTCCACTTAACTTCCTTTACGAAAAGAGGAGTTTCAACCCCGGGGACCAAAACTGTCAAGACCGCTGGCTTAGATTGATGTTCTCCGTACAGGTGGCTCCGGTTGTCCTGCACAGTCCATAGACAACAGTCACATATGAAAAGTCTCTCCGAACTTAACATTTTGAATCCGTGGGCAACCTATAAGAAAGAGGTTCCACCATTTGCATTTTGATTCTTAGATCTCTCAGTCTCAAACACCGGTTGGCTGGAATCCAAGTTGTTGCATTGTTTACGGAGAGGCTCATAGTCTTCATATTATAGTCTTGTCCATATCAGCTTCTCTCCGATGTTGATAAGTCATCATTGTCATGCCCATTCATGCTGGGCTGTATCATACTGTAAAAGCCAAAGCATTGCTGATGGGGACCAGGGAGCTATGTCCAATTCCATGTTATTCATATTTGCCAATTTCAATAAAGTAAGTAGCACCACGTCCAGGGATTCCCACAGAAGAATCGACATCATGGAATTCCGATTGAATTGTCATTCGATTTCATTGATGTGGAAGGTCTTCGGAATCTCAAGTGCGGTGTGCAGTGGTCCTATCATCTTCTCCCCATGGCGAGTGAGCTTGAAACCCTTTTCGATGGTGGTGCACCCATGGTGCCAAGCACCCCCGTGCAAGATGAGACGAGTGACGCAGGCCGTTCCATGAGATCAACCAGGTCCAAGGCATCATCGAAAGCCAAGCCTGCAGCGGGAAGGGCCAGACGGGGCCAGGCTTCCACTTTGAGTTCCTCCTTCACTTGCTGGAAGAACACCCCGGAAACCTGCTGGTTTTGAAGGTATTTTAACATCCATTTTGTGGTGGTCTCTCCATATGATATGATTTAAATTTATGTTTTATCAGTCATTATTATCAAATAATAATTTATTCATTCATTAATACGGCAAGGAACCCAAATAAATACAAGTGGAATCCTGGTCAGCATCCCCAACAGCACAACAGGTAGTCACCCTCAACACAAGTAAATGCAAGTTTATTGTAGCTTAATTTGATTTGGGGTCGTGGGTTGTTTTTTTGGTTGACCCAAGATCACATCCCTTCAGGATTGCTACCTGCGTGATTTCATGGAACACGTTGAACCGACCAAGTGCAGCCGATCTTACTTGAACTCACTGTCATCGAAGCATATTCGACTTGCATTCTTTGGTATGTTTCGCAAAGGACCAAACCAGGCACTGGACAGGTTACTTGTTTATTATTAATATGTTGGTGATTGTTGGTGTGAGTAATGTAATTTTACACCTGATTTCTTTCATTATCCAGCCCTCATGACACTGGACCGATTCCCTGAGATAGCCTCACAGTTATTACATCTTTACAGACAGTATTTACAGTATAGGTATTGTTACTGCTAGCTTAGATGATGAATGATTAGCTCCTTTACTGATTCATGCCATTGACCCCTTATTTTCAACTCGTTTGGGCCCCATAACAACCAAATCATGCACACCGCCCAGCCAGTGGCAACTAAGTCTGGACAAGACGGTGCTTACCGACATGATGGCCAAGGAGTACGAAAGGTTGGGAAAGCCATTGTCCAAGGATGGTGAGACCCTGATGTCAATCATCAAACGCGTGGAAATTGAGCTGTCCCGCAACACTACGTTCACCATCATGAATTTGAGCTGCTTGATTCACATGATTTAAGTTTCAAACATGTTAAACGGATAGTTTATTAAAAACCGGGACTCTCAACCAATAGATCCTATGAAAGAGTTTGAACTAAATTACCAAATGATTTCCAATAAAAAAATAGACACAAATTTTCACTCATTTGAGGTTTTGAAGACTTCAGTTACCTACCTGTTGCTCCAACTTAGTCACTTACTGAACACACCACAATTTCCAGTTTCTGTGATATTCAGATCAAGTCACAGCCCAGGCAACGGAAAGACCATGCTCCAATGCAGGGGCATTGTGAAGGAGCTGCCCCCTGCGAAGCATGGGTGGACCATCAAGCAGGCAGCAGGCTCATTGATTCCGTATGTGGTTGATGGAGAATCTGGCAACAAGAAATGGTGTATGGAACTGTTTCAGGCATCGGAGAACACCCCTGAGAGCAATGACACTATCCCTGAATTGAACTTGGACAATGTGGTTCCTGATGACTCATCTCCACCGGGTGCAGGGGGTGAGTCAAAGGCCCCAGTTGCCCCCATGGCCGGCATGACGCCTGGAATCTTGAACCAACTTATGTCTGACAGTTTAGTGTCAGTACGTAGGTGAAACCCTGGGTTAGGTCCTTAAAAGCCTTAGACGACAATGCTCGACCATATAAAATATTTGTTGATATTAGTAATCATTGATTCATCCCCTCAACTCACTCACTACATGTCACTACCAGGTTTCCCAAAGACTACAAGACATGCATGCAGCCAAGGAGCTGACTCCGTGCAGAAGGGCAAGAGCATGTTCGCTGTTTGCTATTGCGGCTTTGACAGGGCAGCATGTGGAGCCTGTGGCCGTGGTTATCAGCAAGAAGTCAGTGCTGGTCGCAGTCCAAAGTTCATCGAATGCCCCGATGGCAGTACCATGACAGTAAATAAACAAACAAATGTGGTCAGTGTCTTAAAAAAAATGTCATTGGTGTGATAAACATATTCAAACTCAAACCTTTAAGGTGTTGGTTAATACACTTTGGGGCTTGTAAGCATTCAACAAAACCGGGCAACCTCAGATTGATGACAGATTATTACTTCATCAAAAGGACCTTTTTGGCTGGGACCTCATGCATTCTAAATTTACACAGACTCCTTTCAAGCATGAGCATGTCATGTTGTTACCTTATGACAATCCTTCGCTCAGGTAAGCCCCGTGCAGCTATTGTCGGTCACAAAGACACTGAGTACAAGAGCAAAAAAATCCCAGTATGCAAATGTGGAACGTCAACCCCAGAATGCAAGAAATGTGGGGAGGGGTATGTCGAGCGTACTTTGCGGGGTGAGCCTCCATTGTTCATGGAGAAGCAGGTTCGCATTAAGCAAGTGGCAGTGTGCGCATGTGGAGAACCCAGGAAAACATGTGACGTGTGTCATCTTGGCTGGGTTGAAACTTGTCAGAAGGGCAACATGCCAACGTTCAAAGACGTGGAGGTTGATGATGAGGAGGAGACTTCTGAGACTGCAAACAAAGAAGGACAGCCGGGTGGAGCTAGATCCAGTCAGATTTTTATCAACAGAAAACGGACCATGACTTCATTCGAAATCAATGCAAACAGCAATGGAGATTTACTCAGCTAGATCAAAACAGCAATGGAGATTTACTGAGCTAGATCATTGAAGATATGCAATCTAAGTTATTCTTATTCCATCTGTTGGTTCCGTATTAAGTGACAACCACCAGGGTGAGTTCATGGAGATGTCAGCCACCCTGAAAATCTGAAAGGACTGTCATTGATCTTGAAAAGATCACACTTGACTGCAGAAAATGACTACCTGAGTGTTGTGAGACAATTTTAAATTGGGTTTTGTAAGGATGGTTTTCATTTTTGATTCGACTTCGAACCTTCCTCCAACCCAGCCCCAGCCTGCACCATCAGCGGGTCTCTCAGGAGTTGCTGCTGACGAGAAAGGCCCTGATCAGAAAGCTGCTGATCCTGCAGCAACTGTCTCAGAGGGCAAGCCCGAGCCCAAGGCTGAGATTGAGAAGGAGGCAACCAAGCCCATCACCAACGATAATACAGGACCAGTCAGAAGGTATTGGTTCTATATTGATTTTTTGAAATTCAAAATGAAGTTCCAGGTCATAAACTTAACTTATGGGATGTCCAAAGCCCCGTCTAAGCTCAAGCTACTCAGTAATTTCAATGAAAAGGGATCTGTTTGCACATGTATGGTATAAATCAAAATTAGTATTGGGCCAAATTTTGAATTAAGACATATGGTTTGGGGAGCTTTCTTTCATGTTGGTTCCATTTCCAAGCACTGGGAGTCAACGTGTTAACATGTCATCACAATGATTATAGTGTTTTTATACTGCAACAAGTAACAACAATGGCCACAAGCTGCAGCAGTCCTATTACTTAAATATGTTTACATTTCACCTGTCAGTCAGACATCCGCACCAATCCAGGAGATTCCGCCGATGCCACCAGCAAGGGGCCACCCGAGAAGAAACAACGTGTAGAAGGCCGGCTGCCATTCTGATTAGTCTAACAAACCAAGTTATTGAATCTGATTGTTAAGTAACTTGATCCTGACAATGCCCCCATCACTTGATGTTACAAAAATACAGAAACCTTTCTTCATGCCATCTGATGGAATCAGCAAACACCCAATCAAATAATAATGTTAACAATTGACAATGCCAAGTATTGACAATACCAAGTGTGTAGCATTGAAGACAAACTATACTCTGACTCTAGTAACTAGATTTAGTGATGCTTAAACAATATATCTATGAATAAAAAGGTGTAATATTATTAATCATATCATATATATATATGTATCATATATAATAATATATGAACACATTATGTGGCACACTTCCCTGTTTTGACAAGGTGCAGTGGCTGATGCAAAGAGCTCTCCAGCACCCAAGAGCCAGCTGGCAAAGGCCTTTGCAGGCAAGACCAAATGAGCTGCTGGGACCTAATTAGGCCAGATTTTGGCTGTTGGGGGACCATCTTAAGAGCTGTTAAGAGGAGGGGGGTCTGACCCCTAAAACACTGTAAATACCACACAAAATGGGGTCAGACCCCCCTCCTCTTAACTGCTCTTAAGTACCCTTTCCAAGCTGCCCAAATGGGCCCCAATGGACCCCAATGGGCCCCATGCCAGGGATGTTAATCCAGGGATGGAGGTTTAGCAACTGTTTTCAGATACTTGGGCAATTACAAATAAAAATTACTACACGACAGGGTTTCAGTCCATCATATGTCACAAGCAATAGGCATTCAATGGTAAAGTTGGCTGACCCTCCGGGCCCCACTATAGTTTGCTCCTGGCACTGTGCTACTGGGTAAACTTCTACATCACGTCAGTTACTCATTTGTTGTGTTTATAAATTTAATGTTTCAATTGTTATTATTGAAATGCAAACATGTAGTAATGTACTGTAGGTTCATGATCACGAATCCATTCCATTCCATCCCATTTCCTGCTGATAAAAAGCAATTCAATAAGTAAATGCATACTGGTAATGTCATAATTATGTAATGTTACTTACAGATTACATCAAAATAACTACATCACATAACATTGGCCCAGTTGGAGTTTCACTATAGTTTGTTTCAACTGACTGGGTAAGTAGATGGTTCAAATTCAAATGACTTACTTAAACTAAAACGAGACACTTACAGTATTGAAATTCTTGAACATTGGAACTTGATGATTGGCAGAACTTGCTTTCAGTATGCAACCACCACAGGGGCCCCTCAGCTCACTCTCCTGCATGAATTTCTGCAAGCCTCAGGTCTCTGATTTTCTTCCGATCTGTTGTGCTTCTGTCCTTGGATGGCTGGATGGCATCACCATGTGAGGAGTTGGGAAGTCTTTGTGACAGGGGCCAAGCGGGCTAGGGCTGAACACATGTAACAATACTAACTGCAGCTCTTCAAAGAAGCATTCCAGTCTGTCAAGTAGGATTTGAAATCCAATTTACTATGGTTATATTATATTGTTACTACTTGTTGCTAGTTAGCTTTTCTCATGTTCGATCTTATCTCTGCCTGGATATTTGATTTGGTTACTGCCCAATTCAATTGCCAATGGCTGGCCCCTGGTCGCTGATTCTTTGTGATGTCATCACAGGCATTAGGCTGCAGCTTTTACAACAGACTTCAATAAGCTGACCGGGTCATTTGTCAAGCATCAGCACCCTTGATGTTACAAAGGTCAAGGTGTGTCGGTCATGGCTAGCAAGCTCATTCCTGTGGAATCAACTTAATCCATGGCCCCATGGCAATTTTAATTCCTGTTCAGCCAGATCCTGTCATGTCTATAAAACTACAGTTTGTTCCTCTGGTTGAGCCCCATAAATAAGATCTAGACCATCCACGTGAAAACCAATGGATGAATACTCTGATCCCCCCACAAGTCACTTGCCGAGTCACTTGAATACTTCCTTGTCAAAAGGCTCCTGGCCGCTGGTGATTTAATGCAATGTGCAGTGTGGGCTTGCTGTAAGTCCGAACCAGACTCATGGCCCATGGTCCCCCATTTAATTTCATTTCTTTCTCCATGCAATTAATGTCCTGACTGGACATATTCTATGATCAATAAGTCTGACTCACCAGACCTGACCCTGACCTCACGGCACACTTGGTGTGGTGAGTTAGGGAATGTGTGGTGAGGTCGTGCTAACGTGCAATCTGCAGCGTGACAAGATGTGAACAAAAATGCCCTGTACCTTACTTGTCAGACGATGAAACAAGTGCAGTTGTCATCACTGAGCCAGTCAAAAAAAACATCAAGAACTTTAGATCGGATTTAGACATCAATGAACTTGTGACCAATGACAATCACTCACTGCCTGGACTGAACTGCCATTGTGCCATTCACTACCACGGGTAAGTTTGTTTATTTTTTGCTGTCACTGTCAGTACACTGGAATGCTTCAGTCTTTTCTGGGGTCAAGCTACATTGCAGCAGGGATTCATTGTTTTGTAGCGTCTACGCCCTTCTGAGTCAATGAGCTCCAGTCCTGACACGTTGGTGTCCCAAATGCCAGTGCCCACCAGTGCTTCCAAGCCAGGGTCGCCGCAGAGCATGGATCCTGGCCAAGGTCATCATGGCTGGAAGGAAGATGCTGTGCTCCACAGAATGGGGTTCACCACACCTGTGTCGGGTGGGTTAATTCCTGAGACCCCACAACCACTCAAGGGTAAAAAGTCTAGCCCATTGGTTGTTGCAGGGATCCAGCTCGATGATGATCACAACAGTGGTGAGCGTTCCGTGGAGCTTTCATCTGGATTCACATCTGGAGGGGGGCTTTTGTCTCAGGTGTCTTTGGGTCGAAGCGGCTACAAACCATTAGGTAGCTCACAAAATGAGATCAATGGGGTTGATGAGATCAAGCCACTGTCCCTGGATTTTGATGGCCCGGACAGTCCTCTCACGAAGTCCCCTTTGAACTTGAAGAGGATGTTGTCCACACCTGTGTCGCATGTGAGTGAGAAAAGGGCCCGTAAAGATAATGGGGCTGACGAAGATGTGATGACGACACCAGGGTGTAAACCTGTGAAGCCTCGTAGCTTGCCAGTATTGCTGGGGTTGACCCAATCAACTCTTGATGGTTTTTTCAATTCCCAGGCGATTCCCAGCACTCAGCCCTCAGGGTTTTCCCAATGAGGAACTGATCATAAAAGTACCCATGAGGAGATTCCTAGCCAAGAAGTGCGATGGTTTTTCCCCCGCTAGCTGAGCTTTCGTCTCAGAGTGGCAACCCAATAAGTCTTCTGCCAGATTGCCATGTCAGTGGCACAGTGGGTCTGTGGCGATGCTACCATGGCTTATGAATTATGATCATCACTGATAAAAAAAAAATCAGAATATGAGCGCTACAACTACATGTACACTTCAAATAAACATGGTGAGAGTTGGTTTAGATGCCATCGCCATCAGAACCATGATTCCAATTTTAGTCTGGCAGGCCCCACATGGGGCACAATTACCTTGATCCCTGAGCCCTGATCTATTAGGGGATCAGCGGAGTGCAACAAATCAAAGGATGAACAAACTGCGACAGAAAAAACAATTGGCTGTACGGCCGCAACTTCGTTAGCAGGGGCATTATTTTTTCACGGGAACCTGTCTCCGTGGAGTTTTTTTAGTTCAAGATTTGGCAATACAACACTTGACTATGTCGTAAAATCAGCCATTATGTCATTATGCCGACTTAAAGTTTTTTTTGGATTGGGGGTGCCAAGATGACTATTTATACCGTTTGGGATTCCAAAAAATAAATGGTGATAATGTTTTCCTTAAATTCATTAGCTGAGGCAATGCCCAGCATTGCAGCACTTGCTGAGCAAACAGCCCAACCGAAGCTTGGTTGCTTGGGGATCTAAGAGGGGGGGTTGGTTCCAATGGAGGTCTCATGACTTGTGTCCTGCGTATGGGCTTTTAAACATCAAAGAAGAAGTCATACCCTTAGTCAGTCAGCAGTAATAGATGATTCCAATGCCAAAGGTCTTAATTTCTAAATATAATAAATGAGGTTTTACTTTACTACAATACTGCCCATTACTATATGATAAAAAACAATTACAATAATAATAATAACATATTTTTATCATACAATATATCTCTGACAGTGAGTGACACTAGCTCACATTGAATCGGATGACAGCCCAGGAATCTACAGAACAGGCATTGCTTGGACCCAGCAGCTGAAGTTCCAATCCGAAACCGTAAAACTGTCCGAGGAATTTTGGCAACACGGCTTGAATGTCATTATGTCGTTAGCCTATTAGTCTTGTTAGTCTTCAGCATTCAGAATCTCAGAAATTCAGGGGTGACCGGTATTCTTAGATGATGTCTCTAATAAAAAAACAATAATCATGATTACTACTATTGTGGTTCCCTTTATTTATAATAATTACTGTGCCCAAGACAGAGTCTCATATCATATATGGTGTCTATTTTTGTTTTTGTTTGATTAATCATCAGCAGTCACCTAAATGATTTGTCAAATTGTTGAACCAAGGCACTTTGTCAAGGACTCGATATGGCCGTGACATCTGTCTGGGGCCGTGGCTTACTGCATTTGCCACTTGACATGGATGAGAGGGTTAAAAAAGAATGATTAGGAAAAGGGGTCAGTGGGTTGATTCATGATCAGCAGGACTGGGTCTGAGCCTGGGCTAGGAAATTTTATCCCCGCTGTTTCCTTATCATTGGACCATCCAGGTAGGTCTGTTGTGTTAACGAAGTTGTGGGGTCTGAGACTGAGAGTTCAGAAAGTTGAAGTTCAGTGAATGTGAAAAAAATAGTAACACAAGTGAATCCGGTGTAATCATTAATTACACTGCCAGCCCAGGAAGCCAGCCACTCAATTGAAAGCCGGGCAGCCTCTGACTGCAGATTCTCCACTGCCAGACTTGGATTCCAGGCCAATGCTCACCATTGCGTCCAGCCTGAATTCACGGGGAAGGGATGGAATGGACTGACTCGTGATGGGTATATTTATATTATATAATACTGTACTAGACTATTCTTTAAGTTCAAAAAATCGATGATTTAACTACATTACTTGATGAGATATTAATTACAGGACTCTTGCAATATATAGTCAAGAAAAGTGGGCAGGAAAAAATTGGGGCCCAAGAATGTGTTTGCTTCAGTTTGAAAGCATACTTGATTTATGGACACCCTCTAGCAGCCCTGATCTAGGTTTGTGCAATCATTCCAGTGGTTCTTCATTACATGCGTGAGTCTCTGTTCTGTTTTAGATGTTGTGGTTTGACAATTCAATTGTGGTGGCTATAGTACTATACATTACATCGATACATAATTAGATCCAGATCCAGTCATGTCATCATAATCAATCATTACCGTAACTTGCCACTTTAACTCTAAAACTACAATCTTCATCATCAATGATGAGTAGTGGTTTTCCTTTGGATTCATCATTATATTATTTGATTTGATCAAACATATCGACTAACTTTGTTTGAAACAAACCATGCAGGCAACCAAGTTCCCCGTATGAAATTCCAGAATACAAGGGACCCAAGCACTTCCTCATAAGCCGCATTCCACCTGAGTTGGTCAACTTGTGATGTGCACTGATCCAGGCAGCCGATGAGGAGAGCTTGCAGTTCAAAATGTGCTACGCACTCTCACATGAGCAAGGAGGGTTACGATGCTGGATCTGCCCGGAATCAACCCATAGTTCATGGAATTGTGTCAAGAACGCTGTAAGACGGAGTAGCTTACAACATGTTCTACTACTGTCCTCCTGCATGTCCAACTGCATGCACGGGCCGTACAAGTCAGCCCGCAACTTGCAAACTCTACAAGAGGCTGCTCAATTTCTGGGGAACAACATTTCCCAAGATGCTTTCGAGGAGCTTCAGGACGCAATGTCAATGGATATGGGGGTCGAGGTAGATTCTGACGAGATACCTCAGGATCCAAGTCAAATCCCATTTCTTCCTTGTGTGTCCAAGCTCTCCACTTTTGTTCCTAGGCTTACTGTATGGTCCAGTCAAGACTCAAAAAAATAGCACTGAGCTACATGCCACTGCCATTTAAATCATTTGCACTCAATTCCTGGTGATTTGTGCAATGACAATCTTTTATTACAATCATTGATGATTCAAACACTGTTGAAAGTTTATGTCAAAGAAGTACTTTCTCCTTAAGTCAATGCAGCCCCCGACAATGAGGATCCTTAGTATTAAATTCCGAGACCCAGGTCAGTAGAATAACCAGCTGATTTCTGAGATACCATGATGGATTATGGATAACATGTCAACTCCAATGCCTAGCGCCCCAAGGTCAAAACGAAGAGTTGGTTTGCAAGCATCGGCGTGCTGCGTCATTTGTGCAAGTACTGGAGCTTGATGTCTCTCATCATGGATACAGCTCTGGAGCTTGAACAGGTTCCATGATGGAAAAAAGTTCATAGACCAATATTCTGTAGTTAGAGTCGTTGCACGGTCATTATAAATAATAGAAAACATTAACTGTCATTATATATATATACATAATTATGATCATTCCACTGAGTGATTTCAACCACAAATCCGACCTAGGAGAATTATGATTAAGCACCCCATGCCATGTCAGTTTCTGAGAATGTCAATGCCCCCAGTCTTATCATCCATATTAACAAATACTATTAAGATTCATTATTTATAATTATCACCCAGTTGGGCCCTGATGCATCTAAACATAATAACCCCGGCCAATATCGGCCAATGATTCATTTGATCATTTTCTACAAACTCCTTCTTCAGGTGGCAGATGGCCCATGGCGCCACCCGGACACTGCTGATGCTGCCCAGCAATCCGACCAAGACCAAGACGTTGACATCGAGGCCGAGGCTCCAGAAGATGCTGGTCAGGATGGTGGAGAAGAGCCTGGGCCCAACGTTCGGCCAACTTCCAAGAATGAACTTCAAAAGTTGCGGGAGGGCTTTCAAAACACAATGGGACTTGTGGCACACCTTTACCGGGACGTGAGTTTGAAGGATGAATTCCAAATTGTCTACATTGCAACCAGTGCTTACCTGGATGAATACTCCAACACCCTTGCAGCTCAGAAAGAGTCGCAGGCCAGGGATGAATTGAACTTTGTTACTATAATAGTAATACATCAGATGACCCCAATTATTATTGTTGGGTTGAACCAAATGAGATGTCACCTAACCTAGTCAATCCCCCCATTGCCTAAAATAGCACTCTAATAATAAATAATACCCTTATGAATACTAAATCAAACACATATTAAGATCAATTGGTTTTTGCAAAATCAAAAGTAAGAACAGCCTCAACCGTCCATTCTGTTTCACAGGCACGCTGCATGAGCTGGCAAGCAAACCGATGCGCAGGGGAATGGTTTTCCTACATCTTGAAAAGCGTGGGGACCATGCATGATGTTTCGCAGCTTGGGAACTTTATCACTGTGGACATGACGGGGGAAGCACCGGCTGTAGAAGAATTGAGAGAGCAATGGTTGATTGATGAGAAACAGAAACTCAAAACACTTTTCACACTTGTAGTGGAGTGTGCTTCCTCCCGTGCTTGGTCTCAGATGATGTTTACGAACCTTCTGCCCAACAGCTTTGCGGCCGTTAAACATGAGCATGCTCCAACTGCCGAGAGACTCCTTCAAAACATTCACCGTGTCTGGGAGTCTGTACTCCTTGCAGAATGCATTGTTTCTGGCAAGAGGGAGGCCACCATGGAGGTGAAAAAAGGATTCAAAGACCGGTTGAATGACATTTGCTGGAATCAGCTGCAACTGTCCAGAGAAATTTATCTGGAATGTGCTAGGGCCAACTGGAATGTGCATGATGGAAAGGTTCAGCTTCTCGCTGAACGGCTCTATGGGTGTCCTTACAACACGAAGTATGACCTAGAGGATGCGTTTGCACACCTTACTTCCGTTGGGAAAATGACATCCCTTGCAACAGGAATGAACAAGTCACTTGAATCCAATTCGTTTGTTCATCCATCAATTCAGTCATTCACTCATGCATTCATTCATTCAGTCAGTCATTCATCCATTCATCCATTCATTCATCCTTCCTTCCATCCATCCATTCAGACATTCATCCATCCATCCATCCACTCACTCACTCCACTCCACTCCACTCCACTCCACTCCACTCCACTCCACTCCACTCCACTCCACTCTCCACTCATTCATTCATTCATTCATTCATTTCTTTCATTCATTCATTTCAATCAATCAATCATTCATTCACTCATTTCTTTCCTTCATTCATTTTTTCCTTCATTCATTTCTTTCATTCATTCATTCATTAATTTGTCTATTCACTCATCCAATCATCCACTCATCCAGTCATCCACTCATCCATCCATTTACCCGCATCCATCCATTCATTCATTTGTTCGTTCATTTATTCCTTCATTCACCCATCCTTTCATCGATTCATCCACTCATCCATGCATTCATTCATTTGTTCGTTCGTTCCTTCCTTCATTCATTCGTTCATGTATGTTCACTCAGTCATTCTTTCATTAATTATTTCATCCTTATTTCACTCTTTTGGTTCCGGTCCATTCCATTATATTCCGTTCATTCATTCCCATCATATTTTTCATTACTGACTGACTGGGGTGCAAACAAAAATCAATCAGTTAGTTATTATATAAATTATTATTAGTTTTATTTTAGTTGGCCATACATACATACATATATATATATATTATTATTGTTTCTGCAATGTACCGATTTTGTTTTCCATACTGAGTTTGAAAATTGTCAAGATCCAAACACTGGGTGGGCCTGGATGTCATCAGAAGAACTGACAGGATTAGATTACCTGGCTCTAAAAACAACTTAACTAACTTTTGATATGTTAATGCTGACTGACACTGACTGACTGACTCTGACTCGTGACTCTGTCTGTCTGACCTGACCTGACCTGTCAGCAGAAGCTGACATACTGCAATCCGAGGTGGACCCGCTACTTCTACTTGACAACTTTGCCATCCTTGAAAGAGACTGGGTGGCCCCAAGTTACAACCACACTGAGCGACCATGTCGCCCCTGATGCTCATGTCTCAGGAGTGCTGAAAGATTCCGGAAAATATTTCAAACCTAGCCTTCATCCTTTGCCAAAGGAACTGAAGCAACGCCTTGTAGAAATGAAATTGGAACATTGCAAGAAAGCTGGGACCATATCCAATCAAAGAGCAACAGCTGCGACTGCATGGGTCCTGATGCATGCAAGCTCCAACTTCAGCACCGTTTCCATGGCTTGGACCGGTGTTTAGGCTTTAATTCAGAATTCAGAAATACTGTTCATTGATTGATGTCTTCATATGTCCTCTGAATTTGGGCTGATTTCACATGGGGCAGGGTTGGGGAACATGATCATGACCCATAGCCACCCCAGAGGCTAGGCTAAGCTAACTTGCAAATAATTCAGGTCTACATTGATGATGGCATTTGAACCTTTTTTGTTTGCCTGCCATTGTCTGGAATCTAAGGAGTCTTTTTGATGAAGCATCACTTCTACCTGAACCCTCGCTCTGGGCGTGTCTTGCTGGGCTTGGGTTTTCGGACATGTGCAGCGTTGGGGCTTCCGCTTCTTCGACATGAACTTGCTGGACAGGTTAATTGGATCAAACCTGTTAGATTACTATTTGTCGGGTCTGAGTCATTCTTATTATTATTGTTTTTCCAGGTTACTGATATATCCAGATTCAGTTTCCATCCAAAGGACAACTTATGATTCCAATACATTGTTCAGATTATTTAAATTTATTTCCCTCAATCTTTATCTTTTTGCTGGCCCCTCCAGGTTTACTTTACATTTGATCTGAACACCAAGTCTATGACACCAGTGTGGATGGTCAGTGCAACTTTGGAGACTTCAGTTGAAAATGCTCGAGGGTGGCTCCACCTCCCCACAGACATTCTTCATCCTTGGGAAGTACCCGACAAACTTCGGTTGAATTACCCCTGTGTCTTCATGCAAAAAGGCCCCCCTGAACCGCTGGTTACTGCAGGTGTGCGGGCTGGAGTGTACCTCACAGTTCCCCAGCTGAAGTCCCTGCAATGCCAGCTGAAGTTTTCATTGCCCACTGCAGGGAGTGGAAAGAACAATCGACTCGTCAAACAAGACTACGCGTTGGGGCTGATTGGCTTTTTGTTTCCAAATGCAACACAAAAAGAGAAAGACACCATGTTGATGGGCATACTTGGCAAAACTGCACTGCACCTTGACCCAAAGAAGGGGAACAAACATGTGCCAGACATACTCAAGGCATTCCGCTCCCTAGAACCGACAGACCAGAAGGAGTACACAGAACTCTACGCGATGGCTAATGATGAGCTCATGCTACAAGAGAAGCGGGATGGTAAAGCACGTGTACAAACCTTGCCCAAACAGCCCAGGAAACACCTTACACCAGTTGTCCACCAGCAGTTGGGTGCAGGCTCACCAGACACCCCGTGCTCCGGAGATACCAAGGTTTTTATCCAACATATGATGACCGTGGTTTCTTGGTTGGTCATGCCTTGTTTGTTTAGTTTACATGTTCCCACATGACCCTGGAATTTTTCAATACAAATTGAATTGAAATGCAGTCGCTAAATATAATAAATATGGTTCTTGTCTTTGGGGAATCTGTGTGTTTATTTATTTTGTTTTCTGCACCAGGTCCCTCAGGTAATGTCATTTACTGTAAAGCAGTATTTTTTTTAAACTGGGCCTACATGACTTGCTCAGCTTGGGGCAGTGTTCCTACTGTGCTCCCCATCCCAGGTGCAGTGGAGAGACAGTACAGTCATGCGACCTTCTGGGATGGGAAGAGGAAGAACATGCCACAGTTCAATGCCCTTAAACAAGTGGTTGACTGGGTGTGGAAATGCCACTACAAGTTTTGCCCCGCTAAAGAGGAGGATCATGTGTGGGGGCCTAAGGTGAATGACTTCTGTCATCAGCTATTTTCAAAATTTTTGGTTCGTGTTTTTGACCCATTAACAGTGGGGAACAGTAAAAAACTGTTGCACATAAGAAATCATAAGGGTTATGGACATGGATACCCTTTTTCTCTTCTACGGGTGCCTTGTGTGAGGCCAACGGATGAGGACATTCAGAACGTGCTGAATAATTTTGATGAGGGAACAGGGTTTGTAGGCCTTTCTCAAGGTTCTGCTGGTGGCACACCGGTGAAAAACCCTGGTTCGCCCAAGGAAAATGTTGGGGAAACTCCCAAAGCTAGCCCAAAGGGTTTCAAAGAGGAAAGCAGTGGACATACTCCCAAAGGGAGTGCCCACACTCCACAAAAAGAAAGCAGCGGGCACACTCCCAAAGGGAGCGTGCACACTCCGCAACAGGAAAGCAGTGGACACACTCCCAAAGGGAGTGTAGAAAAGTCTCACAAGAGTAAGAAGGCTGAGAAGAATGCCGAAAAGGCAAAGGAGGGGAAACACAAGAAAAAACACGACAAGAAAGAGAAAATGGTCCTTAAAAAGGATCTTAAGAAAAAAACACTGAACTCTTTCTGAGAACATCTCGGACGTCGCTGCAGCGCAAAAGCAAAAAGTGCTTGTTGTTTACCACAAGCATGGGGGGACACAGGTGTCATACAACAATCAAACAAATCATCAGAATTTAGAACAAATAATGACACGTCATCAGAAAACTAACACCACTTGGAATTGCACTTGGGATTAGAAGACCTTTTGGACCAGTATCCTCTTAAAGTTAAAAGCAAGGGGGTCTGATATTGAGGACCCTCAACTACTTGCTATGATAATAGGTCTTGCATGATATATATAGAATCTCACTATCATTATATCGCCATAAGTAATAAGTTAAGTATATAAATTAAGTATATCATACTTAATTTTCACTATCATATTATATCATTATAACGGTAAATGGGTAAGTAAATCTTTACCGCCATGCATGATTTTTTTAATGTCTCCCAAAGCTCACGTACTATTCTTAAGGTCATCTATTCTTGGTCGAGTCATATCCCAAGGATTTGCTTGTGAAACAAACTTGTATCATATTGCATATTATGTAGTCCTTGTTCACTTACCCATTTTACCTGATTGTATATGTAGTCCTTGTTCACTTACCCATTTACCGTTCGTGATGTTTCAGAGTGCTTCTTGCCTCACTCCCATTTTTTTCCGATGAATTAATATCAATTCCGATCAACTCTGGCTATCTCAAGCTCATCAAATCGCGAATCAAACCTCCCTGCCACCATTGGTGATGGCAGTGTTTCCACCTCATCAAACCCACCAAACCCCCGCGTACCTTGGATACGAAACTGGTAGGTTTCGTCCAAAGTCCTAGCAGTTTTTGGCGGACCTATCCAGCCTGGATCTCTAACATTTTTCTGTGCTTTGGCGGCGTGTTCCCCGCCCAAGCCAGTTCCTGAAAATGGCCAAGATTTCCCAATGCTTTTCGTGGACATTCATCTTCCAACCCCCTATTTGGATCTGACAGGAACCATTTGAATTAGGAGGATGGAAAACCCGTCATGTTTGTAACTTAAAAATGCAAATTCGCTGAAAACACCTAGAATTTCTGGATGTACAAACCGTGTTCCCACTGAAATGGACCTAACACGCCATCACTTTCGGGAACCCTACTTTGGGATCTTCGCAGTGATTGGACGTGTGAAATCTTGGATTTGGGATGTGAAATCCACATGATCGGGGATGCGGTAAACCCAATCTAATGATATCCAGTGATTTACTTCGGCAACGATCTTGATGGGATTTCCATGGATTGCGGACTGGACTAGCCCGAAGATTTACATACATTTCATACATTTCTATGAGGCAAAACATGGCGAAACGAATCACCAAAGGGAGCCTTGGTGTAAGGCTGTCCCAGAAACCATGCCTTGGATTTATAATCTAGGGAACCTGGGCTGATCTGGGCTGATCGCTGAACCGACAGGTCATAGCCGCTGTTCCATCCCGATTCGGTCGTTTGAAGTTGCTATTCAATCCCATGACGGATCCATGGTGCTGGTATATATGCTAACATAAATGGGGTATATTGATGGGATCCATGTTACGATATATAGCAGCACCATGGATCCATATTGGATCCTATGGGAATAGATTGGTTTACGGGAAAAATAACAGGAAAGCCCCATGATCTTCATGGGAAAATCGATGGTTTCCGATTAAAAATGGTTAGGATGTTCCCAACAAAACCAATCCATTGAGCTATAGATCCACATACTTCAACCTATGGCCCTGGCATGCTCTATGGCCCTGGTATGCTCTGGCATGGTATGCTGGGTCACCTAGGTCTGAAGCAGTCCCTCGGTCCTACGAAAACGAAACACATCAGCGGCCCAAGGCGACCGCGACGACGGTCAACTGACCTGCAATGTGAAGTCGATGCCTTTTGCCATAAGCACAACACAGCATAGCATAGTCAATACATGTTCACAAAGAAATATGAGTAAAATAGAGTAAAATATACAGTACAGCATGTAGAATAAACACATATAGTTTTTGTCTGAAATATTACAGTAAAATACAGTAAATACATTGGGCATATTACCGGACAAGATGCAATGTTCAATTTAATCATCATCGGACCGTCGCGATTCAGCCCCAGTTCCTGAACCAGTCTCAGGTGGTGGGTCAACATCTAAGACCCATGGGACCCATGGTTTTTGGCCTGTTCCTTCAAGGTCTGTGTTCCCAACTTGTGACCCTTTCCAGACTGTATTTAAAGGGACCATCGTCTTGCTACGTCTTGATATGTCTTGATGATTCTTGATTAACACCTGTTACACCCAACTATGTTGGCTTACCATGATGTGTTCCCTGCGTGCCTGCCATGTCCCATGGCCCCCTTTGGCCCCTTTGGGCCGCGCGTTTTTTGGGACAAAAGAGGCACTTCAAAACCCCCAGAAGGCCTCATAAAGCACTGATTAATTTGAGCCGTCAGCAGTTTGCATTCATATGGAATCACTGTGAATCACTGTGAATCATTTCAATTGGAAACATGACGATCAACAACTGGAACTTTGGGGCTATCTTCTCACAAACCCGCATGATAGCTTCTATCTCTGAGATAGCCCGTAAAAGGCCGTGTTTTGAGCTGGTTAACAGGCAGTCAAGGTTCCGATCTCGATCTAGAGGAAAGAATAAAATCACAAATATTAAACATCCCCATAGTATGGTCGCAGAGATGTGGTTTCGTCCCCTACATCTACGATGGTTTCTGAAGGGTGTTTTATATGAACAGCGGACAAAATCATTTGTTGTTTTTTATGCCATGCACAAATTAGGGTCGTCCCCTATCGCTTGTAAGGATTTCTGTGTTCTCAGACTTTGAGGCGACTCATGTAAAACCATGTAAAACAAGGTGTCGCTATAGACTCGTCCCCTATCGGTAATTAAGGGATTAGACTACAAGAATCATCCAGCAGATGTATTGGTTTCATGAGGTCCCAACCTGTTGTTACACTCTTATTCTCCCCACAAAAAGCCCAAAAAAACCAAGGAAATGATTTGAGCCATCAGCAAGTAGGTGATTTATACTGCCGTAAACTCAAGCAGGAACCACTACTACCAATCAGAAACCATTGAGTCTACTAATTGAGGCCAAAGAAACACAGTCTTACCAGGGAGGCGAAACCCATTGTGACGATATGCTTGGCTTACCATAGTATCACCAATCGGTGAATCGTTCAGAGAGTATCCAAACTGTACCAGCATATCTACAGTTATGGCCCTTTACCAATTGTAAATATTAGCAAAACCCCATTTATGGAATGTATATGAATGTATAATCCCAAAGAAATAACCTGTTATTTCACCATTTATAATTGGTATTTCGGGTCATAACTGTAGGATATGATTTTTTGAGGTTTCGCAATCAGTACTGAAGTTTGCGGGACGACTTTCCTTTGATGACAAGGGGGAACAACCCAACACAACCCAACACGCAGCACATAGTAGTGCAAAATGCAAGGCATAACAAGAACAAAAACATACAAAAACGAATAAGAAGGAGAAACACATAGGAAACAGAAAGAAACAGAAAAGAAACAGAAGTTAAAGAAGAATGATGCCAACAAAATGAAAAAAATAAGAGAACAACAACTAAACACATAATAACAAAAACAACAACAATAAGAACCGCGACCTCAGCAAAGGAGGAAAAAACAACATGCACGCTGCACAAAGTCATTTTCCAGACTCGGATCCTGTCCAAAACAATAAATCTCATCAGCTGCTCTCTGAGCCAATTGCCATGAGAGCTGCGGATTTGTCCTTCGCACCCCCTTGGTGTGAAAAAGTGGCCGAAAGTCTTGGACTTTCTGAGACTTAAGTTTTTCACGGAAATCACGGGGACCCTGTGGTGGACATACCCACAGGGGATAGACAAACGACGGTTACATATGGGGGAAAAACATGCATATGTATCAATGCAATATACACCTTCAAACTGTTGATTACGCCCTACAATCAGCTAAGATTGATGTCATTACACCCGTCAACCTTCTCACTTCAATCAGCCAAATTTTTGAACATCTTTAAAAAGTTACCATGACA